TTTATAGAAATTAAAAAGTCTTGAGATTTGACATTTCAATGTTTGTTTGGAAAGTAATAATGACAATGTGACAGTCGTGACGTCACACTCCTGCGGCACAGAATAATAAACAAACAGAATGCCCACTCTCCACGGAAAATTAAGTACGCGCATCTCCTTCGCGCAGACGTTCCGCCATGTTTTACGAGGATTTTAAAGGGAACCAGTGTTGTTTATGTGGTGTGCATGAAAAAAAAAACCAGGTTTATTTGACTTACGGCAATCATAGACATACTATACAATTATATTAACAGTTTTAAATATAATAACATAAATATAATATAATTAAACATAAATGTAAACAATTGCATAACTTCACAAATCATATGTTTGTGTCCTCCTAAAACATTGCGCGCGTGCTGAAAAACTTCAAAGGCGGCATCTGAGAGTGGCCCTTCTGATTGTTTATTATTCTGTGCCTGCGGTCCATTCATTATGTATTTCCTTAATGTATGCATACCCACGGTTCGTAGACTTACTACGGTTGCCTCTTCCGCCTAACCAATGAACATTAAGCCGGAACTGTACTCTCGTGACGTAATTTGAATCGTAACATTCAGCCCTGTGATGTATCAAAAACGTTATAAATAACGTGCACTTTAACCTGCATTTACGTTAAATTCTAAAAATTGATGTGATGTATCACAAATAACGTTTATAATCTAAAGTTTTATAATATATATAATATAATGGTTATAATCTAAAACATAACGTTATTAATATATTTTCACACCAGCCGAAAACACATTGAAACTGTCATTAGTGTCATATTTACTTGTTAAATAAAATTTATTGGTAGAAAACTAAGGAATAGTTTAGTTCGCAAATTTACTTCCAGAATTAATTTACTTTGCGTTTAAAATACGCAAATCTGTAGAGTAAATTATTTTACTTTCAAACTAAATTTTACTTGGCAAGTAAAATGTTTTATAATACCGGGCATAAAAGTCGTATAAACAAACCAGACAGCTGTTGATTTGAATAGGATTATTAATTTTTTTATAGTAAATTTCAGCATTAGGACTACGTTAAATTATTTTAAATCAAATCGATATTGTTCTGGTCCTCAATGCAATTAAAGATCGACAAAAGATATGTCCCTATTTCTGTTTCCTAAACTAAAAAACTTAAAGAAAAAAATAATTTATTATGGAATTTTTTAAAGACAAATCATGTGCTATGATATTTTCTGACAAGTGATCTAAAGTTAAGGTTGATTTCATGTAATCAAATGAACTATCTTACAATAATGTCGAGTTCAAGTTATCTATTTATGTTAATATACAATAAAGTTTGGTTCGGCGCCGAAACGGTCCTGTTTGGTCACAGAACTATCAACTATCTGACAGCTGGGAAACTGTTTATCAACTGATGAGTGTGAATGCCGGCAACATATTTGTATTAAAGAATATTTTGTATGACGGATTGTTCGGTTCGGCGCCAGGACTGTGACGAGACGTGACTGATGTGTCTGAATCGACCTTTATCGTTTATAAAAATGCCCTGATCGGCCCCTGGGCGAGAAGCGTGTAATTCCTGTGTAATCCTTGTATCTTTTTTTAAAAAATTTGTGTCTGGCTGTGTGGGTATTTACCCTAAAGCCAATAACAAAAAACTAATATTGGGGTTGAAAAAAAGTATCCGATATTAGGGCACTTTACTCTACCCTCAAAAGAAAATGCTGGCCACGCTACTGTTAGTAGTTGACCAAGTAAAAATTAATATTAATTAAATATTTGACGCTAACCTACTCAAAACATAACCTTTATTAGATGACAAATTTGTTTAGAGACATATTTATATTTATACTTAATTATCAAAAAATTGTTATCAAACACTTTTACATATTAGCGAACGCCCAATACACCGTGTATAACAATATTGACACTAAAACCATAATATCAGCGATTACTATCGTTGAGTACCCCACGCACTCCAATTTATTATCGTCTTTTCAAAATACAATTCACAACATCGTGCAGTCTATAAACAGATATTTGTTCATACAAAAATGCCATCGTACAGTGAGTGTTCCGTGATTTTATGGTTAATTTGAAACTGCATAATAATATAATATATTATATGATTTAAAACAATGTTTGGTAAGTTAACACTAATTAACATTTTTACCCAAATTTCACTATTAGTATAAAAATGTAAGCAAGACTTTTAATTTATTTTATCTTTCTAAATAGAATATTCAGATAATAATATTTTATTCACACCAATGTTTTCTATAATACGTTGGTTCATAGTTCAACACCATATTATATAAATAAAAAAACTTGAATATTCTAAAAAATTTTACTTTGTAATTATTGGTAATAGATATAAGAACACTATTTTTTCTGAATTGTTTATAATTCAAGTTTATAATTGATTATTTATTTATTATCTATTTGAATGTTATTGATCAGCTGTTTATTTTTATGCCGTCAAAATTTACAGTGTTTTATGTTTTTCTAAAAAGTAGAGATTGTTGGGAAAATTAAAATAACCTCCTCGGGTCCAAGCATGAATTGCAGTGATTTTTTTGTTGCCAATCAAAAGAATGTTACAATTGGGAATACTAATTATAAAAAACAAAAAATAAAAAAAAAACCTTTTGGTTTTTTCAAAAATTGTAGTATCACTATTGATACTTTGGATCTGGAATGGCAATAAAAAAATTAACATTCACTTATCATTTTTATTAATAAAATTAAGTAAAACAATTTCTATTGACACTACAACATAAAAAAACCTTGCACCAGGCACATTAGACAAACCTCAGGTTGTGGCATTCAGGATACCTGCATTTTGATCTTGATTTTTGGCTTTTGTTAACGAATTCATAACAAATTGAATGAGTTCAAAGACAACTGGACGAAAATTTAATTTGGGAAAATATTGGTGAAACCGTCGATGGGGGCTTAAATAAAATCGTAACAACAGTAAAAGAAATCTGTGTAAGAAATTTACAAAGCAGGTCAAAACTAAAAAAGCAGGCTTGGATGACAGATGACATATTGGATTTGATGGAACAACGGCGACTAACGAAAAACAACGAAACACTTTACAACAGCATACAAAAAGAAATTCGACGTAAAATACGAGAAGCAAAGAGTTAACATCTGCCAAACAGTGTCATGACATTGAAGAACTTGAAAAAAGATACGACACGTTTAACATGTATAAAAAAGCGGCTAGTATCCTTCAATAAGAAACAAACTGCATTGATACAGGATGAAAATGGTAGAGTACTATTTGAAGTAGAGGACAAACTTAAAGAATAGGAAAATTACGTCACGAACCTATTCAAAGACGATAGGAGTAGCTCACCTCCCGATATTACTAACTGCGACGGACCCCTACTAACACGCTCTGAGGTTATAAAAGCCATATAATCATCAAAAGATGGCAGAGCAATTGGTCCTGATGAAATTCCAACTGAAATATATAAGCTTATAAATAATAGCAATGTTTTAGAGGCTATAACTTCGTTTTTCAATACTATAATGTTTTTATTAGTCCTAATTTATTGTCTTTATTCTAATTTATTAAAACTCGCGATAATTTATCAAAAGTCTTTATTTTACACTAATTTATTTTACCCTTAATAATTACAAATAATTAATTTGCGTTCGATACAATTTAACGCGATATCCGCGGTCTTCTTGTTAACTGACTAACTGTCCGCTCAATAACATGTATTTATATATAAAATGCCGTTATCTTGAGAAGTCTGGAGATGCACCAATAACTCATTCAGTAGGTCTCGAAAAGTCAATCGCATTCTGGTAAATTCGGAGGGTCACCGCCGACGGCATTCTAGTTACCTGGTTTCTTTTAGTCGAGGGTTCGATTTGTTGTTTTCATAGCTTCCTTCTCAGGTAGATTTGACCTAGAAATTGAAGAATTTGACCTAGAATGAATAAACATATTTACGGTTTTTAATATGACTCATATAATCTTTTACGTTACAATACCATTTCTACCAGCGGGCAACTACCTAATGGTTGGTCTAATTCACTGTTTATAGCTCTACCTAAGACGAAAACAGCAAAAACCTGTGCTGATTATAGAACCATCAGTTTGTTAAACTACTTATTGAAATTTTTTTTGAAGGTAATACATGGTCGTATCTACAATAAATCCAAGGAATACCTGGATGACACTCACTTTGGTTTCCGTAACGGGTTTGGAACGAGAGAGGCACTGTTTGGAATGAACGTACTTGTTCAAAGATGTCGTGATATATCTGTAGACATATACTATTGTTTTATTGACTTCCAAAAGGCACTTGATCATGTCAAGCACTCTATATTGATCTAAGCTCTAAAAGATTGGCTTGGACGGCAGAGATGTTCGAATAATTGCAAATTTATATTGGAATCAAACAACATCAGTTTTAGCAGATGGTGTGGAGTCACATGCTCTCAATATTAAAAGAAACGTACTGCAGGGATGCCTCTTGTCACCCCTGCTTTTTAACGTTTACTCCGAAAGAATTTTCAGAAAAACACTTTCTGAAAAACAAGAAGGAATATTTGTCAACGGCGAAGTCATCAATAATTTGCGATATGCAGGCGACGCAGTACTCCTTGCTTCTAGTCAAGAAGATCTGCAAACACTACTTGATAGTGTCGTTGAGAGTTGTAGGGAGGCAGGTCTGGATCTTAACATACGGAAAACTAAAATACTCGTAATAAGTAAACAACAGCATATGAAACCGTCTATATAATATGTAAATAATACCAAACTTGAGCAAGTTGATAAAATCGTTTACCTTGGAGAGCAATTAAGTTGTAACGCAGAAAATCACGGCGAAATTAGATCTAGGATAGAGCAGGTAGAGCTGCTTTTAGAAGGATGTCCAAGGTGTTATGTAACAGAGACCTAAAATTGGCATTATACACTTTATACATAATATACTATTAAATTAATAATACACTCTATTTTTGATTTAAATTGGTTTATATATTTCAGGTTTTAATATAGTACTAGCTGTTTTATGGATAGTAACAAATGCTGCCGATAGGTAAGTTAAACTGAAGAATTTTTTTTAACACTTGGAACGGCAAACTAATTGGCCACCCTATAAATTTCCGAAAATAAAAAATACATTGGAAGTTTATTGCGTTTTAATTTAATCATTTATTGCTATCATGTAAGTTTTTGATAGTTTTGTCGTGTATATTGTTATTTTCTGTAGTCGTTGTCTTTGTCCTCATAAGTTGAAGACGTTTAACTACACAGTAATTTAGCTTTTTAAATGAGAATTTTTACTAAATGAATAATTAAGATATGATGTTATCTACAGTGGATGTTGCTCACACTATTGCATTGCTACAAGATACAAGAAGTTAAGTTGATGTATCCAAAAGCTTAGGTAATCCAATAATTAAAGTACGTAGAACTTTCCATCGCTTTATAGAGACTAGTAGATACTTACGCCGAAATCACCATTCCACTGCAATGGCTACAAGAAATCGTTTGCAGGATGTTTGAAATGTAAATGTAAGTGAGAGAACGGTTAGAAGACGTATCAATGAAAGAAGACTAATGACAAGATGGCCGAATATTGTTCCCGAATTACAAACCAGACACTGTAGGAATCGATTAATTTTGTTCGGCAACATTAACACTGGAAGTCTGGCGACAGCCAAGAGAGGGTTTGGAGATGGAGAAATAAAAGATATGCCCAAGCTCGTATGCCCTAGAGAAGAAAGTTTGGCGGTGACGGTATCATAGCTTGGGATGAAGTCTCATTTGGAGCTCGAACTGAACTTATTTTCATCAATGGCCCCCTGATTGCTCGGCGGTACATAGAGAATATTTTGGCAGAAGCAGTAGTTCGATTTGGTTTATTTATTGGAAACAATTTTGTCTTTATGCATGATAATGCACGTCCGCAAACACCAAGAATTGTGACCAAACCATATGAAAACGGTTATTGATGTTATAGGTCATAATACCTAATATTATAAAATTTTGTTCATTCAATAACAATTAAGTTGAACAACATTGACAATTAGACAAGTTCAGTCGTTATTTGTATTGTTTGTAATTCGTTTCGATAGATATTACACTATTTTTTTTATCATTCTAATTAAATAAATTATGCTAAGGAATCAAGCAGTAATGGCCATTTTTTGTTTTAAAAATGGAAATGTCAAGTTAACAATATGATAGAGTGCATAAAACTTGCAATGAATTTTTATTTTCGGAAATTTGGGTGGCCACCTTTTTTGCCGGTCAGTCCCAGTCAAAAATATACACGTGAAAAGCATTCAGTTAGAACAAGAAAAATATGAGAAAAAGAATTCGATTTTTAACAAAATTTAAAAAAAAACAATGCGGCTTATTTTATGGCAAATAGATATCTAATCTTACTAGGTTTACTCGTACGGTCAACCACTGTCGGGTATTCTCATATATGATTAGATAGCTAAATCTAATTTATGTAAATACACAAACAGTTTAAATAAATATATTTTGCAGTGAATACGATAAAAGAAACAAGTAAATTTCCGGTAATGATAACACAACTATATTCAGTTTGATATACAGGGTGGTCCTTAAGAAATTGTACAAAAAGTAACCGCAGATTCTATGCTTTAAAATATTAGGATTTAAGCCAACTTGCTTTAATAAAATGTTGATATTAAAAAAGATACAGGGTGTTAAAGTGGAAATTTAAAATTTTATTTTTCGCTATAACTTTCATGTTTGCCAACATTTATGTATAAAAATCTACATCAACAGTTTTCGAGACAATCGCATTTTAGAAATCAATAACATAATTCTGATTTATCGCAATTACTTCAGGCATCGAAAGAAAATTAAAGAAAAACATCAATACTTCTGAAATTTGGTTTAAAATACCTTTAATAAAGTTAATAGTTAATGAATTATTAAATAAAATAAATATATCAGCAGGATAAAAATAATAGGATTTGATAAATAACAGAATAATTGGATTTTACATCAAACATTTTACGTTTTGTATTAAATTAAAGTCATAATCAAAACATTTTATTTACAAACCAGATTAAGAAATAGTTAAAGTAAATAACATTAAACTTTTTGTCAAAATAAGTGTTCAATATGTCCACCATTTTCATTAATTCATTTGTCAATACATTCCATAAAATAGCGTCTATTAGCGATATTTTATGGAATGGCTTGACAAATGAATTAAAGAAAATAGTGTACAATATCCAACACTTACTTTGACAAAAAGTTTAATGTTATTTAATTTAACAATTTTTTAATTTGGTTTGTAAATAAAATGTTTTGATTATGACTTTAATTTAATACGAAACGTAAAATTTTTGATGTAAAATCCAATTATTCTGTAATTTTATCAAATCCTATTATTGATTATCCTATTATATTATTAAGATATTAATAAGAAAATACCAGTATTAGTAAGTCAGTAACATATAGAGGATACATCATTTATGTTTTTTAAATAAGGTAACATATAAAATCAGAATTTTGATATTTGTTGAAGGTAAACTAAATTCACGAACAAATACTTACAATGTCGGGATAGTATTATGAGGTTTTTTTCCTGGTTTTTCCCTCATAATTTACTATGGAATCACTAACAGGAGAATTTTACTGACATCATGTCATGTGTTTGTCTTTTTAAAGACGAATTACATGCTATGATTTTTTTTCTGACGGATATTCTCAAGTTAAAGTTGATTTCATGTAATCGAATGAACTATCTTATAAGTAAAGTCGTCCCAGGAGCGCAACTCAACAATATTGGCAATATCATTTTAAAGTCGTCTACTTTAAAATGCATAATGTATATCTGAATTGTCAATATAAATGAGTCAGATAAAATTAAATTATTAGAAGAATTTTTCACTATGTAACAAAAAACAAAATTTGTTTAATTTACTGTTTGTATTTTGAGAACGATTTCCGAAGTGGAAATTGAAACGTCAATAAACGAATTTTTATCTTTAATTGTGGCTTAGTCCCAGTTAAGTAGTAATTAATTTACAATACCACAAGAAAATAGCTTCAGAACAATATTAATTTTATTATAGTCAAGAAACTGTAAGATTGCATCGACTGACTTTTCATTAGAAGATATTAGGAATGTGTCTATTGAGATTGGTGTTTGGAATTTAATTGAAATAAAAATTGCATATAAATTCATGTTAGGAATAACATTAATACATTAGTTTAAAATTTTTAAAATTCAGCAATAAATGCAAGACATGCTTCCACTCTTTTTTTTTACTTATTTCAAAAATACGAAACCTAAGAATACAACAACTTTTTAAAACCAGAGTCTTTTCATTATAACACTTGTAATTTGTCGGCATATTAATTGCACAGCACAACAGTTAACAAGGAATCACTTAAAATACTTATCAACTTCATTTTCATGAATTCATTTTCTCCTTTTTCCGCATTTTCTATGTCAATATCATCATTCAATTCAATAATAAATTTATTTCCACCAATAATGTGAAGATGTCCAATCTTATTCAACTTTGATCACTTTGGCGATTTTTTTCTTGGGTAATACTGTAACGTAGCTGGATGGGAAGTGGGGATTAAAAGAGAAATGACTCAAGTGAAGAAATCCTGGTACAAGTATATTCACCTTGCAAGCTGGCGGTTAGGTGTTTTTTGAAGGACACAAGACACAACGGCGAACTTTGAGACCTGGGTCTATAAATCTACTATGGGGTATATTTAGATAAAGATAAATTAATCAAAACTTACCAATGTAAACAGACAACTTCATACAAAATAAAGGGGAAAATTAAGTGCGCCACCTTGTCTTTTTTTGGAGTGACTCGGAAAACTCAACTTTGGCTACATTCACAGCATTGTACAATATTGTTGCTGCGACTATACATATATATTTATTAATTTATATATTTTTACATTTGTAGTTCTAACTGGTTATGTGAAAATGGTCATTGTGTAAGAGAAACTAGTCAATCCGAACGTGAGGGATATGTTTCACTAGAATTATGTCGATTAGTGTGTTCCAAGTACTTGAATATTTGGCCGCAACCCACTGGAACTGTGCACTCTACACAGGAAACTAGTTTTATTAATAGCAAGTAAGTATTGAAGTTTTTTGTATTTGTTAATGAATACTTATACTTAAATCTACATTAAACGATCACGGGCAAGTAGGTTTTTGAGAGGCAATGGGAAGTAAAGAAGCAGTAGTTAGATTATCTGTTTTATTAAAACATAAGAGATGAACAAGAGATATTTTATATATAAAAATCTCGTGTCTCGATGTTTGCCCAAGCTAATATTCAAAAACCACTGAACCAATTGCAATAACAGTTGCAATAACGCGAAAATATGATAAAATTGTAAGAAAAATTGCAAAATCAGCTTCATTTTCTCATACAAACAAATATATATACTGATTTATATCATAATATAAGTACAATTTTATTTTAATAGCATTTATATCATAATATACGATTTAATTTGAATAGCCCCCAATTTAATAATATCAGGATTAATCATCCTGACATCTTTTCCAGCTTTACTAACACTTTTTGGTTTTTCAATATTGCTTCGATAGTGCGGCTCTCCAAGTAAAAAAACGTTTAATCCATTTAAAAAAAAAAGAGGTTAGTCTTCGTAAGTGGGTATATTTATTTAAAACCCTTAAAAGGGCTGCATCAAAAAAACAAACGTTTTCGGACTAAACAGTCCATCATCAGGTTTAAAATCGCCTAAAATAAGTATAAACCATTTAGCAAAGACTGTTAGTATGGTGATCTTAAATAGTCATTTAAAAACAAGGTCTTATATTAGCTTCAAATATTTGCTATTAAAATTTTTACCTGTCCTAGATGTGATAAACATAAAAGGATAATTTTCATATATATAAGCTAATCTAACATAAAATACACTTTTAGACCATACTCCATACGACAAAAAAGCAACATAGGTTGCCTAATACACAGTTCATCCTCTTAAACATGACTTTAACAACATTGGTGATTTCACATCGATTATAATCCAAATTTTAAATCCCAACACCTATATTGCTGTTATTATTTTTAAAATCATCAAAAATAATTTTTGAATCTTTTGGTTGTAGTAATACTAGGTATAACTAATATAGTTTTATGTTACATTGACATTTTGTTTTTGACACCTTTCATAGGTATATTGTAAATCAGTTTCCAGCTGTTCTCCGTGGGTAGAGGTTTTCTCCCCGGCTCTGGAACTCAATTTTTGCAATGTATGTTACCTGAAGTCATATTTAATTTAATACTGAACATCACAGTTTTTTAGCAACAAGATGTATAATCTTTTATAACTATATGTAATTTAAAGGGTTTTTACCCATGTATTTTTGGTGGCTCAGGCATTTTAACCTAGTAAGTATAGCTATTTTTGCTTTTTAACCATAGTCAAAATTTCATAACTACGTTTGTTTTAACTAAATGGTTTATACTTATTTTAGGCGATTTTAAACCTGTTGATGGACTGTTTAGTCCGAAAACGTTTGTGTTTTTTTTATGTAGCCCTTTTAAGGGTTTTTAAATAAATATACCCACTTACGAAGACTAACCTCTTTTTTTGTGATACGTGGTATACAGCCAGCTACAGGAATTGTTTTCCTTGTGGATTTTAATCCATTTTTAGTCTTGGTTAAAATAATACGTTTAAGAATAGAAAACTTGGCAAGAGGTAGTGTCTTTTAACACCTTATAGGCTTCTTCTTTTCAATTAGCAACTTTAAAATCTTTTCCCATACGAATTACTTTGCAAAATTGACCGAATACCTTAGTGTATCGCTCTGGCCTGATAATATCTTCTATTTTCTTCAATATTTGTTCGATTCTGCCTAAAATGCGATCGCTAGAAAGAAATGAGTGAGGTGTGACTGGGTATATAAGTTCAATAGAATGGAAATTTTGTGGGGCATCCAAAAACCTTCAGCGTATGTGGCGACTATAATGCAATTTTTATTTTGACCACCGCATACATCTGAGACCAATCTCAAAATTTTAATGCCTTCCAAATTTATTTGATTACGTCAATAAGATAAAGCGGAGCTTACCTCACTGTATCCTTTATGAAACCCATTTTACGTCCATGTATACATGAAAGTTTTTTCTTTGGTTTGCTTATTTTTTGACGATCCTTGTACAAAGCAAAGGTTGCATTTATAAAACTGTCGGCTATAGTAAGCGTTTTTATCTGGGACCTTTAGCAGTACTCTTGTATGTAGATTAGGGTGGAGTGAAACATGAAGAATTTTTTTTTATTTTTTATTCGAAATGTAATAGCGCGGAAAAGTTGCTTACTGCATAGAGGAGTACCATGTTTTTTTTTATTTTTTCTACCATTTCATCTTCAGGGTTCTACAGGGTGAAAAAAAAAATAATAAAATTTTGTTTAATGTAACAGCCCGGATCAGTTGCTTACTGCATAGAGGAGTAGCATGTTTTTTTTTATTTTTGTCTACTATTTCATCTTCAGAGTTGTACAGGGTGAAACAAAAAAAAATAATAAAATTTTTTTTTCTAATGTAATAGCGCGGAAGCTAAATATATTAATGACTATTAGGCTTTTTACCAACTTTTATAGTTTCAAAAAGTCTTCTACATTTAAAAAGACAAGAAAATACAAATCCCTTATTTTATAAAAACTTTTAATATAGAAAACAATAAAAATCTTTAATATAGAAAACAAACCGTTTGCTAAATAAACAGGTTCTCTTAAAAAAAAAGTTCAACCAATTATTATTATCTAGACTATTAAATGGAAATTAAACTGCTACTTGTCTTTAAATTCCTAAAAAATGTATGCACTGTATTGCGCCTTAGTGTTAAATCGAGGTAATATGGCTCTTGAATGAATCCTTGCTCGAACAAATCCATCTCTGGAGTCATAGTCGAGGACAGAATTGAAAGCTTCTGTTACAGCCTTCACACATCTTTCTACTGCTTGAGTATGACAAGAAAATGACAAAAAAGTAGTTGGAAAAATTTCTTCACCATTAATACATTTTCTAATATCCTCATCAGTTGTAGTAGATAAAAGGGGAGGAATTGTAACAGAGCAATTTTGCCAATCAATAAGTTCATAATATTCACTAGCATTGAAATTTAAATCAGGAATTAGAAATTCTCTTACATTCGTGTCCACAGTAGGTATTTTTGTGCGCGTCTTCAACATTCTGCGTAAGGCAAGTTGTCTTATTTAAGGACGATCATTCAAAGGCATTGCTAGAACAAGGTTCTCCGGATGACAAAAATACGAATTTCTTTTGATAACATGATCAATGACGGCTTTTAACTCGTTCCTCAGGTAGCGTGACAATTGAGTCATTTTAAAGACGTGTCTTGCTCATTCACTACAAGATGGCTTAGTTTTAATATTAAATCACACTGGCGCATAAACTTTTACCACAAATTCAGCCAAAGATCTTAAAACCAAAGACAGATTTTCACTTCCAACGTAAACACGCAATGTATGATTTGCCTTTGTAACCCATCGTGCAGGTGATAATTCACCCGGATTACGAGTTGCTAAATCTATCGAGCACTTTCCACTAGAAACCGAATGACAAATTTCGTATAAGTACTTTTGATCACTGCTAAGGTCCCTTATAACTGCAGCATCTAATTGTGGTAGAGTGGTATGAATAGGAACAAAATGGATTACTGGCAAATTTTCGTAAGACTCAAATAGTTTACCCATTTTGCCAGAGTATTTACGAGGTCCCAAAGTTTCTCCATCGAGAGATTGAAAGATATGCCGGAGGAACAATTCATTCATGTGTAATAGACAAATTGACTACTGCAGAGCACGTTTAAGTTCGGTTTCTAAAAACCGTAAAACCCCATTCTTCCTCCCCGTTTTGACTGCTGTACCGTCGCAGCCTACTACTAAAAGATTACCTGTGCCAATACCGGATTCTTCAAAAAAATTAGTATATATGTGGCAATATGTCTTCCTATACCTGACGTTGGAGTAATGTGATTTAGATATTTAAAACCTGGTTCTTCAAGTAACGAAATGTGTTCTTCGGTTTTTATCTTGCAATGAAGTTTATCTCCAACCTTTTCTTGGCACAGAGTTTTATCCTTTCTGCCTGAACTTTTTCACTCTTAAATTATAAGTCTCATTACGTATTTGTTTTGGATATCTGATGAGAGTTTGGTACTTACTCAGGATATCACGAATTAATCGAATAATACGATTGCTTGATACAGTGGGAACTGAGCCTTTTTCCCAGATGGCTTCGATTTCACTGGTAACTAATTGAGAAATAACTAGAACACTAGGATCCTTGCCGGAATCCATACGTTTTAGTTCATTTCTAATAAGTAGATATCGCTTCATAACATCTTCTATAGTGTGCAAAATATTATAAGGTATATTCGCAGGTGCACCAAATATAGGACAATTAGTAGTGCCCATAGTGTCTTTCACTGGCAAACTCATTACGTACCGATTAATTATTACAATAACGATCTTATGTCTACGGCTATCACAGTGGGACTAAAGATTGAGCTAACTTCGTCTTACTTACTTTGTCGAACCGATCTAGCAACAGGTCAAAAAACGTTTTACAGGAAAAGATTATTTCACGGAAAGCCTTTACTAGTGGCGTAGCTTTATTTAATTATAATTAACCGAAGACGAATATTGAACACTATTTGATGAGATTTTTGATCTGTTTTATTTCCAAAAATATTGCTCAAAATATTTACTTGGGTGACAGATAGAGCTCTAATAACATTATTTTTAACTAAAATAATAGAACATAATTAACATCGATAAATGCAGCTTCTTTTATTTATTAAAAGTAAAAAATAAATAAAATCGATTTTTCTTGATTTTTATCTTTTTTTTATGCGCGCTGGAGCCCTGAAGATATTTTTATTTTCTACTGAAATTTTAGCAGCAAGTATACTATAGGTAGGGTCAACTTTTCGCAGGTACCTATTACATGTCAAAAAAAAATATCGATTTTTTCGCTCCACTCTAATGTAGGTATACTTGTTCTTTGAGTGCGATGTTCCCATCGGTGCATATCTGTAAAAAACAAAAAATATTGCGGTAACTACTTTTTGTTGTTTCCAGTTCAATATTAGCACTGCTTATTGCTGTGCTTGAAACTAACTTTAAACATAGCAAGCATAGAAAGTATTTTTTATGTCTTCTGTCTCAGTTACTACATCAATATATTTATCTTCAATTATATTGTCAATATTGCCCCTATATATACTTTTTTGTCAGTTAATATACATAATTCCTGCTGAATTTTTCACACGTCTATATATTTGCAATGTTTGTTAAAATTTTATTTACACGGTAAATATTTAAAATACTAGAATGAAGTATAAACTTTTATTTTTGCATAAAATAATAATATGCTAACAATGAGATTATATAGTTTATCTTGAATATATTAATTTCTTATTATATTTGAAAAGGTCAAAGTCTTCGAGATCACGGTTAACTGCTGATTTTTTATGTTTCTATTATAACGTGTAATTATCTACGTAAACGCAACTGATCTAGCAGAAGTTTATTTATTAAGTAAACCAAAGAATGATGATGATGACTCAATAGGTATAATATTGCACTTATTTAACACAATATACAAAACTGGTATTATACCTCAAGAGTGGCGGTTGTCTACATTCGTTAGACTGCGTTCTGCCAAAGAAATCCAATGCAAAAGAATGTTCAGAACATCGAACAATATCTTTAATGAGCCATATACTAAAGATATTTCTAAAAGTCATCCACAACCGAGTTTATCAAAAGTTGGATTCAGATATTAGTAATACACAGATGAGGATCAGAAAAGAACTAGGAACTCGAGAAGCTCTTTTCGGTTTGAATGTTCTTACACAAAGATTCCTAGACGTTAATCAGGAAGTACATGCATGTTTTATCGATTTTGAAAAAGCGTTTGACAGAGTACGCCATGATAAGTTAAGACACATCCTTGAAAGAATAATAATCCTGCGAATAATTTTCAATCTATATTAGAATTAAAAAGCTTACATCAAAATAGAAAATGAGATATCAAAAGCAATAGAAATACGTAGAGGAGTACGACAGGGATGTACCTGTCACCGCTGCTATTTAATGTTTATAGTGAAAGCATCTGCCAAGAAACCCTTTTGCAAGCAAACGAAGGAATCGTAATCAATGGAGAGGTTGTAAATAATATTCAATACGCAAACGACCCTGTACTAGTTGCAAGAACAGTAGAAGAATTACAACAATTACCTACAAATACAACTTACAAATATTGTCTTCAACAATTATGGCATAAATATCAATATCAAAAAAAATCAAGTATATGGTCTTCAGTAAAAACATGACACAACCAGTACATATTAGTATAAACGGTATTCAAATTGAAAAAGTATCAAGTTACAAATACTTAAGGACTACGAAGGACAAATACTAGCATCCCTCTACGATTGTAAACACAGGAAACTCCTAGGTCTTCATCCAATGACGTGATCTAATTTCATTTCGAGATGGTTCAGGTAGGTATTTCAAAAGATCAATTACTACTTTAGCTCCAAGTGGTATTTTTTTTATTATCTTTAATATCATTCGTTTTTTTTTCAAAACAAACGTGAAAACCATATCCACATTCAGTGGAACCAGTTATCATCCAATTATTATATCAAAATCTGGCTGGCTCCTCTCTAATTCATGTTTTGCTAGGTTATGACCAAAATATTTCACCATGAATGCGTCAGAGGATATACCATTAAGGAAACTCTTACAGTATACAACCTTGCCTTACTCCTTTTTTAATGGAGAAATCTTCTGTTTTGTCGAAATTTTGAAGACGTACTGTTGCTGTCTGGTTCCAATACAGATTGGAGTCTTTACTGGATTGGAGAGAATAATTCTTATATCCTTGGCATCCAATCCCAACTCTTGTAGGTATTTTATCATCAATTCATGTTTTACATTATCGAATGCTTTTTCGCAATCGATAACACAGACAAAAACATCCTTTCTTTGATCTAAACAATTTTTTTATTAATGTTTGCATACTAAAGATCGCTTCTCTCGTTCCAAGTCCATTTTTGAAACCAAACTGACTCCATCCACTGACCTCTTCACATTTCTTAAACAATCTAGTGTGAAGTATTCTCATTAAAAGTTCGCATGTTGTGTTTTTGGTAGGCCGATAAATATAGATTAGTGAATAAATAATTTTTATGATTAGAATTATATTTTATTTATGGAATTAATTTATGTTACCTAATAAATTTTTGAAAACAGTCTTTTTTGTGTTACTTATACTATGGCAAAAAAGCAGTAGTGAGAATAGAAGAAATAACATCAGAAGAAATAGAAGTACAAAGAGTTTTTCCACAAGTTTGTATACATAAACCAGTATTATTTAATACATATACGTATATATACTCGGAAGACATATTAAGTAAGGAAATGGATTAACGAAACGTAGACATTAGAGTTAATGACATGATCATAAATAACCTGAGATACGCTGATGATACAGTACTTTTAGCCGAATCACATGAAGACCTAGCAAAGAAGCAAAGAAGAATATGGACCATCACTCAACAGAGCAAGAAATATAATAAAATATGATAATAACAAAGACAACTCGGGATATTCGTGAGATATATGTATAGAATCAGCCTATTGAAATAGTAAGAGAATTCAAATACCTAGATATAACTATTAATGAAAACAATGACAGCTCTCAAGACATATGAATCAGAATCAAATAGGCCAGAAGCGCATTTACAAGAATACGGAGGCTTCTCTGCTGTAGAAACTTAAATCTTAAGTTAAAAATACGACTGTTAAGGTGCTACGTGCTATCCGTATTATAATACGGGATAGAAGCGTGGACACTGAAGAAAATTGACGTGAGGAGACTGAAGGCATTCGAGATGTGGATGTACCGAAGAGTACTAGAGATCTCATGGGTAGATGGAATAACCAACGTTGAGGTAATGTGACGTATTCGTAAGGAAAGAGAAATACTAACAATTAAGAGGAGAAAAGTGGGATATATGGGTCATGTGATGAGAGGAGATAAATATCTAATACTCCAGATCATTATGCAAGGAAAAATCCGGAGAAAAATATCCATAATGAGGAGACGTAACTCAGGTAATAACGACTTATTTAGAGCCGCGGTCTTAAAATTAAAAATCGCTGTCATGTTAGACAAAAATTCAATAAATGAATCAGTTTGTCGTGAATTTTAAATGTTTCTATATTTATAAATTTAATAAACAGTATTGTTTATTTTTATTAATATACGGGGTTAACCCCTGTGGCTAAGTACGATCCTGGCATCTGTCAGATTCTTCAATAATTATATGAAATAATTCTCGACCGACCTTTTAATTCATTCTATGACGTCATAATTAATGACGTACTGAAAAGTACCTCTGGGACGTTCTTTATCTGAACCGCATATAATTACCAACACGGTTTATTATATTTTTTAATCGGTACTTTTTTCAGGAACATAGTATTTTATTTCAATGGACCAGTAAATACGATGGACCATCTAAATAAATTCACACACTATTTCGAAGATAAGTTAAAAAAAGAAGAACCGTTTTCCTGTGAAGACGATGCATACGATCTTAAAGTATACTTAACCCCTATAAACGATAATTTAAATTTAGACTTACACACTGATGAATCGTACACCATTAAAATGGATAACAAAGGTAAGATTTAATTAGGTATGTAAATAACAGCTCTATTAACCTTAATTAAAAGATCCATGAATACCATTCTTCAATTTTCAATTGGACCACTAAACACCGACAGCTTTTGGAATTTGTCATCATGATTCTTTCTTTTTTCTCTCTTAAGATTTTGTATGAGTTTAAATATTTTTCAACAATGTTTAAAATTTTTTTTAATCCCTTTATTTGTAATCTTTTCCAATTTTATTGTTATTAAAACTTTTTTATTTTTATCCTCCTGAGACCTGACCTGATTTTTTTGTTTTTTTTTTTTAATTAAATAATAGAATTCCTATGATTTTTAATATAAAATCACATGTAAATTTTTCTAAATTTTTATTTTTTTCTAGCATAACTGATTTCATATTATACCATTGGACTATGTTAATTTTTCCATCAGATTTTACATCTTGCTCACACGAACCATGACCTCATCGACTCATCACCTTATTCAATATTACATGGACTACTTTCAGTACTCTGGATCTCATTAGTGCACCAGTTAAAAAATATATTTTGGTTTAACATGTACTCAAGTCTCACTCCAGATGGTATACCAATGTATTTTATTAAAAAATGTGTATTCACTCTTGCTAAACCTATTCAGTTATTATTCAATAAGTCATTAACTTCTTCTACATTTCCTGATTTTTGGAAAGTGAGTTTTTTAAAACCCATTTTTAAATCTGGTCAAAATAATAATGTTGAAAATTACAGGGCTGTTTGTTTGCAGTCTGAACTACCAAAGTTGCTTGATTTTTTTGTTAACTATATGTTAACCTACAATTGTAAAAATTTAATTCTCGGCCAACAACATGGTTTCTATCAAAAGAAATCTACTTGTACAAATCTTATTTTGTATTCAAACTTCATTGTTGATTCTATGGAATCGGGAAACCAAGTTGACTCCATATATGCTGATTTTGCCAAAGCATTTGACAGGGTAAATCACGAAATATTAATTGCTAAACTTCGGGGATACGGAATTGGCGATAATTTATTGGGTTGGATCACGAGTTATTTAACAGATCGTTTGCAAATAGTAAAATATGATGATTTTGTTTCTGAAGCGATTAATGTTACTTCGGGTGTACCTCAAGGTTCTCACTTAGGCCCACTTCTATTTAATCTGTTTGTGAATGATATATCATCGGTAATTAATAATAGTGAATTTCTATTGTTTGCTGATGACATAAAGATCTTTAAAGTAATTAAAAATACCTCTGATATGGATGCTCTTCAGTCTGACTTAAATAATTTATCTCGTTGGTGTGACATTAATGCCGTATATTTAAATATAAAAAAGTGCTATAAAATTACGTTTACCAGAAATACTAAACATCAGTTATATAGAACATACATACTTAAGCTAGTATCGATTACAGAAGTAAATCAAATTAGAGACCTTGGAATTACATTTGACCAAAGACTAATGTTTGATAGGCATATTAATAATATTACATCGCGGGCTTATAGAATGCTCGGCTTTGTTCAAAGGAACTCCCGAGAATTTTCAATATTTACTTTCAAAATATTGTATTGTTCTCTAGTTAGGTCCATTTGTAATATTATTTGGTAATAATGTAATATTATTTGGTATCCATATTATAATATGTATATTGATCAGTTGGAACGAGTTCAAAATAAATTCCTAAGAATTTGCAGGTATAAAATGGGTTTTAATAGAACTTACTGTGATTATTACTATATTCTTTGTCAACTTAATATGAAAATTTTAGAAAATAGAGAATCTGAGTGTGAATTGCGTTTTTTGCATAAAATTCTTAATGGTTATGTTGATTGTCCGGAACTGTTGGAATTAATTGTTTTTAATGTAAATTCTAGAAGAACACGCTCTCCTGACCTGTTTAGACTAAAGTTTCATCACACTAATTATGGTAAAAGTGAGTCAATCACAAGGATGTTGAGAACTGCCAATAATTTGCAAGATAGTGTTGAATTGTTTAATTTATCCGTGTCCTCGTTCAAGAATAGTTTAAAGAAATTGAGACATTAATGTTATTAATACTTTTTAAAATTGTAATATATGACTACAGTTTATATGTTAATTATATGTGTATATTGTAATTTTTGTAAAGAAAAAGGGTTCATCCCGTTAAATAAACAAACAAACAAACAAAGTAAAGGTAAGGTGGTGAAATATCTATCAATGAATACATGTGTTTCTTCTAATAATGTAGATAACTTAATAACTGCGGATGGATCAACACCTAACCTCTTAACATTATTATCATTCTGCAGAAACGTGTTTTTCCCTTGATAAATATCGAAGTCTAATAATAATCCTTTGAGAGTGGCGCAGACAAAAATTTTTAACCCTTCTGGATTAGGTTTACATCGAACAAATTGTTTTATGTTTCACACACCAAAGGTACAATTTGTTCATTCACAGCAATCCCACTGTATCTTAGAAGTGTCAAGTAACCTCTTTCGGTATTCTTTCATCTAAATGTCGGATCTTAAATAATTTATCAGCGTTTCTTTGATCTTGAGGCACATCAGTGTCAATAACTACTTTTTCCGCAAATCGCCAGGAAATTTTGACATTCCTGTCAAAATTTCTTGAAGAAAAAGTCAGGACTTCCTTACTGTAAGGAAATATTTCCGTACAGTTGTTAGTGTTCTACATAAATGATAGAAAACACATTGCTTATAAGGAATTAATTTATATTTTGTAAACATCAAGTCATTGCTGAATACATTTTTAAGATCAATTTGTTATATTTACAGTAATTTGACAGTACAATTATTGAACATTGGAGGAACACTCTTAGAACTATGAGAAACATTTTGGACAACATGCAGGGTGGAAGTGTCATTTTGTTGAATATTTTGTACTGTGAAAATTTTATTTGCCACCTCAACCTTATTGTTAAGCGATTCTTCGATATATCCTTCAGCAACGTTTGATGACTTTCATCCGCCATGCCTCTTTAAACTAGTTATGTCGGCACCAGAGTCAACCAATATTGTTACAGAAGACCGACGAAAGCAGTGACCAGTATATTCTGTCGGATTTACCAAGTTCAAATAAGTAGCAATTATTTTGGGCATTTTTCTAAATTGATGAATTCCAACCACTTGTCTACAACCCTTTCCGCTTTGATATTTAAAGAAAAATCGGTCACTGTTCATATTTTCTGGTCTTAACGAAACATACTTTCGATAAACATTCAAGTAGATCTGATTAATTACAAATGATCTTGGTTTGTTGGTTTTCGAATCAGGTATGCTGATTAAAAGCTTAGATTCTAAGTCTTCTATATCGTGTACAGTCATTCGGACTAACTCATCCATTCTACAGGCCCCAGAAATACCAAATATTACAGCCACCTAAAAAATAAATAAAGCTATAATCTAAATAGAAATTAAAACCTTGTAAATTACCTTAATCATTAAATTTTCTTCATCTGGAGCTTCCTGGATAAATTTTTCAATTTCTTCCTTTGTTAAAATTTTAGATTTCTTTGCCCTATAACCTTGAGCTTGCCGTTTCAATAAAGAACGAAGTTTTGAGTATGTAGATATATCTACATTGTGTTTAAGTGCAAGGGTTGACTTCAGCATTGAATAATTGCCCCATAATGTTGAAGATTTCATCTTTAAACAAAGGTCTAGGAAGTATGCCATTACAACATTTTCTGAGAAAGAACTCGTATTTTTACTCATGCGATAATCCATAAAACGTCTGTATGCATTTTCGTACTTTTCTCTTGATTTCTTTGGCAATAATTCTAATGAAGCAGTATTCACTGCCTCAACCAGCTCTGGAGGAGTCCCAGGAATGGAAATTTCATCATCACTTATCATTTTACTTTCGAGAACACCAGCAATTAAATTTATAAGCGTCAAGTTTGACAATTCAACCTCAATACGTTTCCATAGTAACCCAAGTAATTTTATTAGGAATTTCAAAGCACCATTTATTTGGGAATAAAATTATCGCGTTTTTTTTTAAATCAATCAATATCTGTCGAATTTTAAACGATTTGCGAAAAAATAGTATGTTTACCTCGTAGGAAAAGCCACATTCCTGGACTCTGTGTTGCTAAGTCTCGGCTTGTGCCTCGACTTAGTAATCTTCACAGTCGTCCAGGAATGTTAAGCTTTTCCTACCCGGTAAACAATGTACTATTAAATTGCTTCTGATTTGAAAATATCTCTCACGTGTCATGGCTTGGTCCAGCGTGGGGCTAGGTGCTATAAATTTAGTTTTTAGCAAAAAAAAAGTATATAATTTGTGAATGTCCATTCAATTGGACATCAGGTCTCAGAAAGATATTCATTTAGACGCATAAATATTACATTTTAGTGTATTTTAAGGTACCGACCTCTACGCCAATATTACCGCTCCGACGGTGTTTGGAATAAGGCATGGTATAGAAACATTACTGCAATTGCTGATACCTATAAACGAGGACGGCACGAAATGTTTAGTTACTCTAAACAACCTCGAACTAACTGACAAACCCAAATTTCATCACAGAGGCCTCTTAATCGATACCGCAAGAAATTATTTAAGCATTAATAGTATTAAAAAACAGCTGGAAGGCATGGCTGCTTCTAAACTCAATGTATTACACTGGCATGTAACTGATACGCAGAGCTTTCCATTGGTTTCGCCTAGGTTGCCCAATATGACGAGGTAAGCTATTTAACAGAATTCCAATTAAATGTCATTTGATTTATTTAATTTTGATTAATTAAAATTAAATAACTGCATTTTTTATTTCTATTTACTACTCTTTATGAGTACAAAAAACCTGTTCACCAAAAGATTCTTGCTTAGATGAGGAGATATGTTGTGGAATGCAATTTTTAGATTCCTCATATGTCTTTTGAATTTGATCTTTTTTACGCGAGTACCTTACTAAATTATACTAAATTTGAAAATATTGGTCAAGGGAACTATAAATTATCTGTTAAACACTATACGCGAGAAACTAATAATTGAATCGTCTAGAATCAAAACCGGCAATCTCCATTTTTGGTAAAAATGAGTTTGATATACCGTTTTATAAAAGTCGGAATTAAATCCGACAATATCTCATTGAAATTTAATCCTAAAATGTAGGGTTAGTTTCAAAGTTGGCAATATCAAAGTCACGTGTTTTATAGTGTTATTTTATTTTCTTGGTCGGTTGTTTGTGGTAGTTAAGCTGCGTTTACATGATGACAATTGACGAGACAATTGTCATTGAACAATTGTCATCACGTGGTTGCGGATTGTCGGATGCCAGTCCAGTTGAACGGGAAGATGTGTGTACGGGGCCAACTACTGCCATGACAGTAGACAGGTGCACATAACACAAACCACGTGTATGTTTTGACTGACATCAGAGAATATGTATATAAACATCGTAGTTTATATACATATTCAGTTAGTGAGGAATACGGCCTGAGCCTCAACTTCAAGAAGACAAAGTGGATGCTGATAAGCAAAAAGCAACAATCTGCTCGACAATTACGGATAACATACTAATTGACCATGTAGAATCTTATGTGTACCTTGGCACCAACGTAAATGCAAAATGGGAACAGACCATAGAAATTAAGGCGAGAATAGAACGAGCTAGAGCAGCATTTAGCAATATGAAAAAGCTCCTCATAAGCAAGGATTTGTCTCTTCCCCTAAAACTACGTATAGTTAAATGCTACATTTTTCCGATCTTGCTGTATGGCGTGGAGGCCTGGACGCTGACGGAGACGCTAACGAGAAAACTAGAAGCATTCGAAATGTGGGTGTACCGACGCATTCTTCGTATATCTTTGACCGAACATGTCACCAACATAGAGGTACTCCAAAGAATCGGAAAGGAGAAAGAAATCGTGAATACAATTAAACAAAGAAAGCTTGAATATCTGGGCCACATATTGAGACACGATAAGTAACGTCTGCTACAATTGATTGTCCAGGGAAAAATAGACAGTAAGCGAGGGCCAGGCAGGAGAAGACACTCGTGGCTCCAAAATCTGCGGAATTGGTTCGGGCTCACATCGGTCGAACTATTCAGAACCGCCGCAAACAAGATCAAAATTGCCATGTTAATAGCCAACGTTCGCAAAGGATAGGGCACTTGAAGAAGAAGAAGTTTAAATCCATGTTTAATGTATTCTTAGTTAAATAAAAAATTCTGCTTACAATTTGGTACATGTTTGAAGGTCGTCTACTAGAGAATTGCCTAGGGCGTCAATTGACCTAAATGCGGCCCTGGATGTACTCAACTGTCGGTATAAAACATTGTGGGAGGATCCAGGACCGTATTAGCTTGGCGTATATTGTATATTAATTACAAAAGACATCATTTTATTAATGGAATAAAAATCAATAATCGTTAATTAACTACATTAGTATCTATTTAAAATATAAATATGAGTTGTTATTATAGATGGATGATAAAATAATTGTAGATCTCATCACTTGTTTTCTTGTAGGTTTGGAGCATATAGCACCAAGAAAGTTTACACGCCAGAAAATGTTAAAGATATTATCGATTTCGCAGAAACTAGAGGAGTAAGAGTTCTTGTCGAAATCGACGGTCCATCTCATGCAGGAATGGGGTGGCAATGGGGTTTCAGTGCCGGTTTGGGATATCTAGCAATATGCGTGAATAAGCAGCCATGGAGATCTTTTTGTATTCAACCTCCATGTGGACAGTTAAATCCTTCTAATCCAAAACTCTATGATGTTTTGACTGAATTGTATAAAGATATTGTAGATGTCACCCCAGATAGAAATATGTTCCATATGGGAGGTGACGAGGTATGTAAAATAGAAGTATTTAAACTTATTGCGTTATATATAATAATATAAAATAATGTGTTCGCAACAATTTAGTGAATAAATAGCGAAGTTTAGTGATTACAGTTCAAAGGTTAAACGAAAAGTTCCGTTAGAGTTAATTGATTAATACTAAATGTATATAAATATGTGTCAGATATAGTCAATATTGAAGACTAAGTTTAAAAAAGGCAGAATCCCAATTTTCCTGAAATGCAAAATTTACGAGAGACCAATTATATTACAGTCTACAACAATAATAAGTATGTTTTCTCATGACGTGAAAATAATAATTAAATTACTGTGTAATTAAATAAAAATCTGTGGCTAACGGACCTGCTTTCTAGCCATATTCTCTCTCTCCCTCTCTCACACACACTTAAACACACACACGCACACACGCACATGCACACACGCACACATGCACACACACACACACACACATACACGACACACATCACAACAATTCCTTCGGTATTTGGGAGCACTAATTGATACCAAACTCAGCTTCAAGCAGTAAGTAGAGTATGTCAGTGCTAAAGCGTCAGTAGTAAGAGCAGCCTTGTCACGGCTAATGCCGAATGTTGGTGGTCCAAAACAAAGCAGAAGGAATTTATTGTCGTCAGTAGTCACGTCAGTATTAACATACGGAAAATTGATTCGGGCTGACACCCCTGGAACCCATGAATCATGGAGAAAGGTCCCATTAGTATATCGTTTGAGCGCTTTGAGAGTCACCAGCGCATTTCGCACATTATCTGAGGATGAAATGTACATCATAGCCGGGATGCTACCCATTGAAGAAAGGAAGACCCTTTACCGGTAAAGGAAGTCAACTACATCTACATTGTGCCGAGATGAACTTAGAAGAAGAGGACGGCAAAACAGCATTGGTCCAAGGCAATTACAGCGGGATTCTGCAACAACGGGAAGGTGGACGCATTGTCTTATACCTAAGGTGAATGTTTGACTTAACTCGTATCTGAGGCAGTTGCTCTGAGGACATGGCTGTTTTCGAGCATATCTTTATCGCTTTAAATGGATCGATTCTACAGACTTCCCATCCTATCTGGGGGCCAGCTAAGATGTGGAACACGTGTTCTTCATGTATCCTCGTTTCAACTTGCTGCTCAATACTCTAGAAGCAGTTACCAAACAGAAAATTTGACCAGAGACCATAGTAGAAAAAATGCTTTCATCGAAGGCAACTTGGAATGCAATCAGCATATTCGCGATGGAAATCCACCCGAATCTTCGCCCCATTGAAAGCAGATGAGCTAAAATTGGAGACGCTTAGAAGGAGAGAACCAATAACTTCAACAAAATAAAGGAAGAGCAATAGCTGGATTTTCCCCCGTGAAGTAATACCTTACGGTAGTACCGTAGGGGGAAACAGAGACAGAAGAAGGAGACGGGTTTTGGTCGGTATTGTATTGTAATATACGAGTTCGATATACCAGGCAGTACATCTAGTCCTGATGATATGTAAAAGTATTTACCTCCCCAAAATTTTTTTTAAATATACAAATGATAGTTATATTTATTTTTCTACAAATTTTTGCTTGTGTATTTTGTATTTTTAGGAAGAATGTTGAAAATAAGCCACAATATATCTATTTACATGTCTAATTAACTGAAGTTTCCATTTCTATTCCAGATACTCTTTCCAAAGTTATAAATGCAATGTTATTATACAAATATAATAATAATAAACAAATAAAATAAATATAACTATCATTTATGTAGGTAAAGAAATAATAAGACTTACTCACAATCAATTTAATTTAACTATCAGACGACCGGTTTCGCTTTCTACAATATGCAAAGCATCTTCAGGTCTCGATACAAAGTTAAATAAATGATGCCGGTACTCTATTAATTGATGGATGGTAGAACATGGTTGAAACTACTATGTATTATTGAATGGAGAACTCAATTCTGCTATTGTAATTGTTTGACAGTAAACGGGAAGTTCTTGAGGAGATAGATTTGATCCAATGAAGCAGAGATATGTGTGTGATTGTTTGTTAAATGAAAGTGATGTTAAATACCATTGTATCATTTAAAAGTTATTTATACTTATTCGAGAGATATATTTATGAAATGTGTGTTATTTATTGAGTAATTGTTTTATGAAGTGACAGTTTTATGACAATGAATAAGTTTAGTCAGTAGAAACCTAAAAATAAATATATTGTGACTTATTTTGAACTAATAATATTTAAAAAATGTAATATAATTAACGTTAAAATAAAAGTTATTGTATGCCACTGGATTTTCATACGTCATTCCCCACTTTTCCGAATTCAAACGATGAAATCACTATTCTAAATAGTGGAATCTGAATTTCATTTTTCATTCATTACAGGATTCATGATTCATTCAGTCAACACTTTATGTATTTAAAATTTGAATAGCTTTAGGGAAAGTGTCTAGAAACGTTTTTCAAAAAGACTACATCTATATAATTATAATATAATATGTAATAATAATATAAGTATAATAAATAATTTTTCTTTGTAGTCGATTTTATTTATTCTAGGTTTACATTCCATGCTGGAATACCACCCCAGAAATTCTAAATTATTTAAAAGGTAAACCACTAACGGAAGAAACTTACCTAGACCTTTGGTCTGAGTTCCAACAAAAAAATTTAGCGGCATTTGATAAAGCAATTGGACATAATAAAACTTTCATAGTTGTTTGGACAAGTAGCTTAACTGATTCGAAAGTTATCCAAAAGTATTTGCCAAAGGAGAGGTAATGTATTGTTTCGAAATGATGTTATATTGATCAATCAATCAATAAATGATTGTTAATCAATCATTTACTGATTGATTTTGAAACAACCCCGATAAAAACAACAACAATATATCTTGAAATTCAGTAAAAAATAATTAAAGTTTGAATCAAACCTTAGACAAGGAAAGAGAGGGATGCTTAATAATATCGAATTAACTGAAGCCTAAACAGGCACCAGAAAGGTAGATTGAGAATAATGGATATAAATATCAATAAAAAGATTTTTTAAATTTATAATTGAACACTGGTATAACGATAACTTTTTGATGATTTTATGATTACTTATTTTTTAGTAGATCCATATACTATTTCAGTAAATCAGTAAATTAAAGTTGAAATTAGTAGATTTACTGAAAAAACGTACAGACACCAAAATATGGCAGACACATCCAAACTGGCTTCACTTTGCGAAGGTTTATTAAATGAGTGTTACCTGTCCTCTCTCTTTTCTTATCTAAGAATCAAAGCATAACATAACCTTAACATATGAACATTCATAGTAAATATATTAATAATTTGATATTCTTAAATCACAAATTCTCGAACAACAAATAATACCAATCACACATAATGAATGTTAATAACCAAAAATATCCAAATTAGAAAAGTTTTTAAAATCCACGCCCATTGTGACTTCAGAGTTTAGGTAGTCCATTAGAGAGTTATTTTAAAGTCTTAGAAATTGAATTATGCTATATAATTATTTTATCTTAGAATAGTAATTTAAGATGAAGGTAGAAATAAAATAAAATAAATTATCAACGCATTTTAGGTACATTATTCAAACTTGGATACCAGAAAGTCAAAACAATCTGATAACGGAACTTGCAAATCTTGGATATCAAATTATTATATCAACTAAGGACAAGTGGTACCTTGACCACGGTTTTTGGGGTACGACGGAGTATCATAAATGGAAATCCGTTTACGACAATCGAATGTATGATAAATATGTCAAAGGTATTTTAGGTGGTGAGGTGAGTAAAATAATTCTCTTTATTGCTAGAAAACTTGTGTATTTTTGTGCCTATCAAATAAATGGTTGGGGTTGGAATGTGACGGGAAATATTAAGTATCAAATAGAAATCGAAAAATCAAGGGCCACCTTGCATGAAAACAGAAGACGAAAATTTCAGTGCAATCATCATCAAGTAGCGCTACAATCCTGGGTGGGTTTTGGCTGACTGTACAACTTTTTTCCAATTTGAATGTTCTCCAACTCTAACTCCAAATGTAATGATCTTTGGTCGACAATCCACAACAGTCCAGTAGGATGTCATCCAACTGGAAAGCCAGATATTATTAAATGTTATAACGCAACTAAATACGGAGTAGACACATTTAACCAAATGTGCGAAAACATAAATCTCTCCAGAAAAACAAGAAGAAAAACAAGAAGAAGGCTCCTTTGCCTGGCATGATAAATATAGCTTGTATAAACTCTTGAATAATTTATAATCATAACCAACAACGACAGAAGAAAAAACCATCACCAGAAAAAAATTTATGGTCATTTTATCTGAACAACTGACGAAACCTTGATTACAGCATCGTGTATATTGCTAACTTTAAACTGCTCGGTAAAATTGCTTTTATAAATAATATTATCACGAACATTGTACCTCTAATTCAAACCGCATTTATATATTTTCTAACCACCACTAATAATCATGGTTGATGTGCTATACATTTGCCCACTAAAAATCTATTGATATTCTTTTATATTATTAAAGTTATTTAATTTACAGGTCTGCATGTGGGGAGAGTTGGTAGACGACAACAATATAGACAGCAAAATATGGCCTCGAGCTGCTGCCGCAGCTGAGAGATTATGGACTTACCCTAGCACCGATGCCACTTCTGCCCAATATAGATTTTTCTCCCAGAGGGAGCGTTTAATCAAAAGAGGAATATCCTCTGAAGCTGTTATGCCAAAATGGTGTGTTGAGAATGAAGGAGAATGTAGTACATATTTATAAGCTAGAAATATGTGTGCCATTTTATTAAAAGTCTAATCGTTGCTTATTGTGTGTCAATGTAAATAGTGTATAGTGAATTGTATGATAAAAAAATGAATCAGTGCAATATTACTGTGAATTATAAAATAAAATATGTCGAATTAATATTAAAATTACTTAGTTTGTGGTATAGTTTATTGTATATCCAGTAGTAAAAGCAGTACATTTCTGCACGACTATGTAGGATAATAAGCAGCAAAGTTCGGAAATATTTTTGTACTACGGAGTACACATTCTTTTTTTTTTTTCAATCGTATCCAATATTAGCCACATAAAAACGCATGCTTTAAAAAGTAAACAAAAAAATACCTGATATATCTACTATTATATTATAATTAAAGAAGCGTCAAACGCATCAATCGTGTTCCAGTATTCAGATTTCCCCAAACACTCTTAGAATAATATTCCTCTTCTTCTTCTTCTTTAAGTTCCACTTTCTATCGAAGGTTAGAAATCATCATGGCTACGCAGATCCTGTTGACTACCGCTCTAAATAGTTCTGTACTATTGCATTCAAACCATTCTCTCTAGGTTCCTAAGGCACGATATTCTTCGTCTTCCTCCATTTGGCTTTTCTCGAATTTTGCCTTGCATAATAAGCTGCAATAATGAGTATCTCTCTATCTCTAAGTACCTAAGTTTCCTTCTTTTAATTCTTTTTAGGGTGTCCGTCCGTTCCGAACGTTGGCCATCATTCTGGCTATTATGACTTTGTTGGTTGCTATACGGAATAGCTCAGTTCTACGAAGTAGCTTCGAATAGAGAAGTTCTACGTGTCGGTTGCCCTCGCGATTTATTTCACACGATATTTCAAGCTATTAACATGTCGGGAAGAAAAGAAGACAGTTCTGTGATTCTTTTTATTAATTTAGTGAAAGCTCGTCAGTGCATCTGGAACTATTCCCTTACTGCTTACAGTAGGACAGATATGACGAGCACTGCATGGAGGGAAATTGCATCAGAAATAAAAAATACAGGTAAATGCATTGTTTATGTATTTATTTATTAGGTGAAATAGGTCAGTAATAAAATTGTTAACTCATAGTGTAACTATTTATATACAGATTTAAAGAATTCATCGTACCTACTAAATAACTGGATTAGTAAACCGACACATTTCCACTGTATAGAGATTGCACCAGCTGGTTTTAAAAAGTATTCATCTAGTTTATTTCGCCATAAATGATTTCATATTTCATATCCCCTAATGAAAGCCAATCTTTTTTCTCTACCTAATTAATTGACCCCACAAAAGCCAGATCCTGTGTAAGAAGTTCTATCTGTAGTCCATCAGGATTCAAACATAGGTTTTTTCTTACTTATCTGGAGCAGCTTCCTTCTATGTAGGCGAAGCATGATCCATTAGAACTACGTTATTATCATTAGACCTAGCTAAATATGGAGGGGTGGTAAGATTATTTTCTCTGGTTCGACTAAAGACTGGGCAATAATGTTTTTTTGTCCAATTACCAAGTTTTTTTTCTTAGGCCACTCTTTTTTTAATCCAGTGGTTTTTTGGTCAATATTATCCAATGGATAGTAGCATGTTGGAGTAAATGTTATGCATATGATCTGCAAAAAGATTTGAGAAACCGGAGAGTGGCCCAACAACTGGACAACGTCCACTTTCATCACTATATTCAAAAAAGGAACTCATCTAGATTGCAGCAACTACAGAACAGTAACCCTAATATCCCATGCAAGCAAGGTTCTACTTAATATAATACATGAAAGATTAAAAGCTTTTTTATTGCCTCAGATATCAGAAGAACAAGCAGGATTTGTCCCAGGAAAAAGCACAAGAGAACACATCCTTAATGTCAGACAGCTAATCGAAAAAACTCGTGAATTCAATACTCCTATAGAATAGAGAATAGAGAATGTCCTTATGTGCTTTGTGGATTACACAAAGGCCTTCGATAAAGTCAAATGGCAGCAGCTATGGTCCATATTAGCGGAAATGGGAACACTCCACCACTTAATTCAACTAATTAGAAGTCTATATGAAAATAATAATTGCACAGTAAAAATAAACAAGACCCATTCCGATCATTTCAGAACAGAGGCAGGTGTCAAGCAGGGATGCATAATCTCGCCAACTTTGTTTAATATCTACAGCTAACACATTATGCGAAAGGTACTAGACGGATGGAAGGGCGGAATATCAGTAGGAGGTCAAAAAATCAATAACTTGAGATATGCTGATGACACTTTAATAATCGCGGCAAATCTTCAACATTAAAAATATTGGGAGATTTGAAGTAGTAAATACTTTCATATACCATATATGGGTCCCTAATAACAAATGACGGAGGGTGTGACAGAAAAATACGTAGAAGGTTAAATATTGCTAGAACAGCTATGATGAAACTGATAGCAATTTGGAAAAATTCTAGCATAACAATACACACAAAACTAAGTCTGGTAAGAGCGCTCATTTTTCCCATAGACACATATGCTATGGTAAAACGTGGACCTTAAAGTAAGCGGATAAAAATAAACTAGACGCTTTTGAAATGTGGGTATACCGCCGCATGTTGAGAATATCCTGGATAGATCATCGCACTAACGTATCGATGCTATAACAACTTAAAGTAAAGTATAGATTGCTTAAACAAATAAAAACCAGATATTTGCAGTATTTTGGACACATTGCTAGATGAACAGGCACGATGGAAAAACTGGTAGTCGAAGGTAGAGTTGAAGAAAAAAGACCTAGGGGAAGATCTCCAAGCCGTTGGGTAGTCAAACAAAAATATTAATTAACCAAGGGTTACATGACGCCAAACAACTAGCCCAGAACAGAGAAGGATGGAGGGAAATCTTAAAAAACTATGAAGGCCTGATGATGTCACCACATCCCAAATGGGATTAGGACTGAGGAGGAGGAGTAGCAGTTCTTATGCATATTTAGAATTATGAGTATAAGAGAAAATTGCTGCCCCACTCCGTCTGGTATTTTTTATGCATATCTATTCATCTCTAACCTAATTTATCCAATATCCTTAATGAAATAATTTTTTAAATAATATTTAATTCTTCTTCTTCTTCTTTAATCCTCTAATAATCTACGTGTTTCTGAATGAATATGTTTAAAACTTTGAAATGTTTATTAAAATAAAATAATTGTAAACTTTATCTAATATGTAAATGAATATCAATAACAAAATCCAGGTCCGTTAGGTGGTTGAGCTGGAATACCTCTCCTGATCATTCTGCATGTATGTTCTTCCAACCTTCTTGCTATTTCATCTATATCGTCTTTGAATTCCGGTTGTGACCAAAGTTTTTCGGCAACAGCTGAAGCCCTTGGCCACACTCTTGAAATTACATTAAACTCATTTACGACTTCTCCCCACATACAGGCTTCACCTAAAAGTACCATTTTAAATAAATACTACTTCACATAAATAAAATATAATGTAAAAATTCACCCTGCGTGGACAACATTCTTATAAATTTATCTAAAGATGTCGTCTTTACTTTTTTAGATTTACAGTATTGACTTTAGAGAAATTTAGGTTTTTTTCACAAAGTCAGCCTTCTTTTCAGTCAGGTATTTAATTTTGTAATTAGGAATTACTTTTATATTGGAGGTTATTAGTCATTGGACCAAAACTCTTGCTTCTTCTCGTGCCACTCCTAGCGGAGATTGGAAATCATCATGGCCACTGCGACTTTGTTAGCACCGCGCCTGAAAAGTTCAATCAAACTACACCCGAACCATTCACGTAGATTACGAAGCCACGATATTTTTCTTCTTCCCACACTTCTTTTGCCCTTAATTTTGCCCTGCATGATGTTTCTTAAAAGTTCGTACTTTTCACCTCTCACAATGTGCCCCAAGTATTCCATCTTTCTAGTTTTTATCTCATTTAGAATTTCGCATCTGTTGTCTAAAGTTTGGAGTACTTGCGTGTTAGTGACGCGGTCCATCCATGATATTCTGAGAATGCGCCTATAGCACCACATCTCGAAAGCCTCGATGTTTTTTATGGTCAACTGTTTTAGTGTCCAAGCCTCAACTCCATATAACAGGGTAGAAAAGACATAACACCGCAGCATTCGTATTCGTAACTTTATATTGATATCACGATTGCAAAAGAGTTTGCGCATTCTATTAAAGACTGATCTAGCGATTTTTATTCTACATCTAATCTCTTTTGTTTGATCAGTATCGTCTGTGATCCAAGCACCTAGATATTTATAACAGGGCACACGCTCAATCGTATTGTCTATTACAAGATTAGCTCTGATGTTCTTTGATTTCGTGATTACCATAAATTTAGTTTTTTTTAAATTAATTTTCAAGCCGTAACTGTTACAGTATATATTGAGACTTTGAACGAGATGTTGTAGTTCTACTAGCGTTCCCGTTAGGAGAACTGTATCGTCAGCATACCTTATATTGTTGATCGTCTCACCATTTATTATCAGACCAAGATCTTCTTCCTCGAGTGCTTGTTCACAGATAGCTTCACTATACAGATTAAATAAAAGTGGCGATAAGATACATCCCTGCCGGACTCCTCGACGGATTTAAATTTCTTCTGTTAGTCTGCCCTCAACCTTGACATTTGCTGTTTGATTCCAATATAGATTGCATATAATTCGAATATCTCGGCTGTCTATATTTTTCTTTATTAGAACTTGTCTTAGTGGTTCATGCTGTACTTTGTCAAAGGCCTTTTCGAAATCAATAAAGCAGGCGTAAATTTCTTGGTTCATGTCTAAGCATCTCTGTGAGAGAACGTTCATTGCAAACAGAGCCTCCCTTGTACCCAGCCCTTTTCTGAATCCCATCTGAGTGTGACTGATGTCTACGTCTAATTTCCTATAGATCCTATTATGGATTATTTTTAAGAACAGTTTTAGAGCATGACTCATCAAAGCTATCGTACGATATTCGTTGCATTCCTTTGTATTTGCCTTTTTTGGCAGTAGTATAAAGGTCGAACGGAGCCATTCCCTAGGTATTATTCCAGTTCTATATATTGTGTTAAATGGATCTAGGAGTATTTTAATAGATTCATCGTCCATAAGTTTGAGCAGTTCTACGGGAATTTCATCAGGACCGGGGGCCTTACCACTGTTTGCTTGTTTGAATGTTCGTTCAATAAAAATGCTTAGTGTTACTTGTTTGTATGTAACAGTGCCTTCCCACGATCGGCGATTTTACAGATCATCGCGGACAGCCGATCAGCACGGACGAGAACGCACCGCAGACAGAGCTCTTCCTACGGTCCGTGACAGTCTGTGTAGGTCCGTGACAGTATTGTTTGATTATATCATAAAAAGGCCACTCAGGCTTGTAAACATTAAATTGGGCATTAAATTATTTCTCTTCTTTTTTAATTCTTTAATCGAAATAGTACTATTCTTCAATTGATTTTTTATTCGGTTCCATACATCGTATATATCGGTTCCGTTTCTTATGCTCTGGTGCCGTAGAATTCCATAAATTTGTTTCATTTTGATACAAATTTAAAAAATCAAAAATAACTTCGTTTGTCCATTCCATTTTTTAGCAAACTGCAAAGCAACTTTGACAACACTATAGACAACTACTCGTGTCCTCCGTTTTCGCGAATACACAAGTCTATTCTTTTTTCTAAAGATTCCATTAAACTTTTAAACGGTAGGGGATCAGCTATGATGTTATTATTGACATTGAATTCTTTTTTCCAATTATTGGCGTGAATTTACCTCTGTAGCATGGACTTTTTCCTTAATATACGACCAAACTGCGTAGTCCAAAGGGTTAAAATCGCATGGAGGAGGCTAAAGAATCGGAGCTTCTGCACCTCTACCAATCTATCAATTCAGAAAATGACTACTCAACCAATTACGACACCTTCTATCAAAGTGTGGTGAAGCTCCATCGTGCATAAAAAATAAAGATCTTCGCTCGTTTAGCGTTAAATCTTCTAATATCTCGAATAAGGAATTGTTTAAAAAAATCAAGATACATATCACCATTTAAATTTCCAGGTAGGATATGATAACCTATTAATTTGTTATCTATAGTTGCTGTCCAAACATTAACTTTAAATGAGTGTTGGTAATGTGATACCCTTTTGACTCGTGGATTCTCATCACACCAGTAGTGTGCATTATGGGAGTTAAACATACCTTGTTGCGTAAAGGTGGCCTCGTCCGTAAAAAGAATGCATTTTAAAAAATTTGGATTGTGGGCTGTCCTTTGTTGTAATGTTTCACAAAAATCCACTCTAACCGGTAGATCATCTGGCAAGAGCTCTTGGACTTGTCTGTAATGATAAGGATGTAAAAGGATGCTTTTCTTTCAGTATCCGCCAAGTACTTAAAGAAGTATTTGCTTGTCTTGCTATATTCCTTACGCTAACTGTTGGATCTTGATCAAGTAAATTTAAGATATTATTTTCTTTATTAATTGTTCTTGTTGTTCTCGGTCTACCAGAATTTATTTTATTTGGTCTCACATTCCCAGTTTCTTAGCAACGTCGTTCAACGGCTCTAAATGTTTTTTTACTTGGTAAGTTTCTTCTAGGAAACTTTTCTGCATAACGTGTCACAGCTGCACTAGAACATCCTAAACATTCGCCTAAGGTTAATAACATGTCAGTGTATTCAACATTTGAGTACATTTTGATTTGATTTTACAAATAACAAGGTTTCAAAACTTTAATTATTGTTGATTTATCGTCATAACAATCAATAAATGTCAGATTTCCATGGCACACTTGGAGAAAATAGAGGTACATCTATTAGAACTTTATCATTACTACCAGCATCAATTATTACTTCACAAATTTCAAATCAAAATATTCCGAAAACGGTACACAGTATCGAGTTTTATCAAGAGTACCTTTTTCGTGTAAAATTGAATGATGTTTAAGTTTACTTAAAATTTTGATTAATAATTGTACTTTTAAAAAATTTATATTGACTAATACTTAGTACGATCCGTGTAACTAGCGCCCTCTATGAGAATGAGATATAAAAACAAATTCGTAGGATGTATCAGCTACCAAAACATATTCGTGTAAAATTTCATTACAATGTTGCCAGTAGTTTTGGCAAAATCGTAAAAAATACGTAATTTTTTTTCTTCAACGCCCTGTATCTTGAAAACGGATGGCGTTACAAAATTTTTTTTCTAAGCAAACCCCAATTATTTTTCAGCTTTTTTATCTACCCTAGAGACGGGGTTACCTTTTTTTGAAACACCCTGTATACAATGGATTTACATACTAACTCTTTATTTATATTTACCTCCCTTAACAAAAGATCGCAATATGGGATCGTCTGTAAAAGAATAAGGTTCACAGGCATAGAATTTTTGCCAGTCTCCTCCACTACCGATGTTATCCAGATACCAGCAGGTCGAGAGTATTGCACTTCGGTTACTTTTTGTTACCTGAAAAATATAAGTATGTTATAGGAAATTACAGGAAAATGGTATCCCCATAGGAAACTAATTAAGACCATTACCAGTAACATCTTCACGAAGAAAATAAAAATGATATGGAAAAAAGAGAAACAATGTAATGCAGATAATGTATTCTTCATAGCGTATTAACCATAAAAACAATTAGAACAAGAATTATATTAAAAAACAACAAAAGCCAAAAGAAAAAGCATTTACATAGCAGTGTATACAAACTTAAATGGGGCGACTGCCCAAGAACTTACATCGGTCAAACTGGTAAAACTTTTAACAAACGTATAGCAGAAAATAAAAGTGTTTTCAATAATAAAAAAATAGATTTTATTACGTACTTCACCTTCTAGACCATAATCGTTATTTAATGATGAATTTCAAACTCTTAACATTCAAAATAAAGGCCTAAAAAATACAGACATTCAGAATGACCAACATGAGCAAACAGTTCTCCCCTTCTCAACCATATTTTCATTTTTAATAATTATTTCAATAGTTACAACCAGTTGTAATCGTTATAATTGCTAGAGGTGTTTTCTTTTGTTTGTTCCAGGAGATTCATGTTAGTACCCCTTTGTTTCATTTTCGTAGTTGCCCCAATCCAATCCCCTTGCCATTCACTTATCCACGACCCAGCTCTCCAAATAAACCCTGAGTGTCGTTCCCATATTTATCGTCTATTTTTCTTGCCGTATCTCTACCCTCAAGAATTTTTGTCCCCAATACCCCTTGAAATGAAGGGTAAGATAGAAACTAAAATGTTCATGCAATTCGGTGGTGACAACGAAAATTACAGGGTATCACCGTATTTTACGTTCATTCACTTGCCATTTAATTATAAAGTAGGTAGAAAGATAAAGAACTTCTTAGTCATTAAAAAAGCTGTGTACAGTTCTATTTAAACAATTAAATACTTACTTCGATCATTTTTATTTCCCAGAAATCTTTCCATATTTGAATTACTATGTCATCAGGTAGCTTAACGCCATTTGTAAAAACTTCCTCCCATACAATTGGTTTATAATTTAAATTTTTAACCATATCAATAACCTTTCCAATATACAAACTTTCTAATTCTTTATAACTAACGATATTATTTTCCATCATGTATTCATTAATTTTGGAACTGCTACTCCTAAAAGTATTTTTCATAATGTTTGATGTTTTATTTTTTCACGAGCTACCTAACTATTTACAAACATTTTATATTCTATGTATGGCTATGGCGAAAGAAATGTACGAGGGAAAAGATTACTGAACTTCTTACACCAGGAAGATTTATTCATGATGAACTCTTTTTTCGAAAAAAAGTCTCAGTGTAAATGGACATGGATCAGCAAACAGAAAAGAAATAATCAAATACATCGAAGTACTCAACAAGTTTTCAATAAGAAGCGACCACAGATTAATCCGATCTAGGTTACTATTAAATGTCAAATTGGAAAGAACAAAGATTATCCTAAAAACAATAAAACAGAAATGGATTCCCCCAGAAAACAACCACCTGAATAAAGATACTCTAACCAGACATATACAAGACTTGCAAGACGAAATAAAAGATGTAGATCAAGCAAATAATGACTTTATAAAGGCTCTTAAAGTAACTGAAAGGGAGTGTTGCCCGTTCTGACCCATAAAGCAAAACTAGGCCAAAATACCAAAGAGCTAATAGGTAAAAAGGTAAAAAGGTAAAAACTACACAACAACGAAGAAATTAAATAAAGATTACCACCGGTCAATTCGAAAAGACGTTAGAGAAAACAATACAAGAGAAATAAGTAAAATAATTTAAGAAAATAACAGTTTAAAAGTTTTGAGGCCAAATACGAACAACATAGGCAACAAAAATTTGTACAAAATAAAAAAAAATATATATATATATATATATATATATATATATATATATATAAGGTTCTTGAACTCCTAAGTGGAGCATAGAGCTTCAGTGAAAACGCGCCATCGGGTTCTATTTTGCGCTAAGGCCTTCACCTCATTCCAAGACTTTCCTTGTTTTCTTATCTCGTCCATGATGGATCTTCTCCAAGTTTGTACTGGGCGACCTTTTTTTCGTTTTCCTTGGGGATTCCACTCTAGGGCAGTCTTTGTAATACTGGAGTTATTTTTTCGGAGTGTGTGACCGATCCAACCCCACTTTCTGGACTTTATTTCATTTACTACCCTCTTTTGTTTGGTCAGGTGTAGTAAGTCTTCGTTTCTGATGATGTTAGGTCAGAAAATATGAACAATTCTTCGTAGACATTTATTAACAAAGACCTGCAGTTTGTCTGTAAGGGTTTTTGTCGCTTTCCAGGTTTCACATCCGTAAAGTAGTACAGACATGACATTTGACTGGAATATGCGGATCTTTGTCCTCGTAGTGTATTCTCCAGACCTCCAAACAGGGTTGAGCATGCTGAAAGCTTGTTGCGCTTTTCGTATCCTCATACGAATATCGTCTTCTGTACCTCCGCTTTCTGTTATGACACTTCCAAGATACGTAAAGTTTTCCACATTTTCAATCTGCATGTTATTAATGGTGAATAGCGTGTTGTTTCTTGCATTTATTCTCATGGATTTGGTTTTACCAATATTGATTTTCAAACCTATTTTATTGGCTTCAGTGGAAAGTGTTTCCAATTGGTCAGCCACATCTTGGAACCTTTGTCCTAACAGGCAGATATCGTCGGCGTATTCTAGATCGCTTAGGCGTGTGGTTAACGTCCATTGTATCCCTCTTGTGTCAGAGTCTAGTTTGGAGAGAACATAGTCTAGAGCTATGTTAAACAGAAACGGAGAGAGCACGCATCCCTGTCTGACTCCAGTAAGTACGTCAAATTCGTCACTGTTGATCCCATTGTGTGTCACGCTGCATTTCGCTTCAGTGTACAGTAACTTTATAATGGAAATTATTTTATGCGGGATGTTTCTTAGCTCTAAAATTTTCCATATTGCATCATGAGATAAGCTGTCAAAAGCACGCTCGAAATCAACAAAGACCATGTATAGGGGTGCGTTCCATTCAACCGATTGTTCCATTATTAGCCTCACAGTATTAATGTGGTCTATGCAGGAGGATTCTGGTCTAAAGCCTACTTGATTAGCTCGAAATTCAACCTTGTTTGTTAATATTTTAAGTATGATGGTCGTGAAGATTTTATTTATGGCGGTAAGCAAGGTTATTCCTCTCCAATTTTTGCATAGTGTGAGGTTGCCCTTTTTTGGAAGCTTAGTAATGATGCCTTTTTTCCAGCCCGCTGGAATGCGGTTTGTTTCCCACACCTCTCGGATTATGGGGAGCAAAAGTTCAGCAGTTACAAAATAAAAAACAAAGATAAAAATATTACTACCGATAGAACCAAAATCCTAGAGGTTGTCGAATCCTTTTATCCTTTATGAAATATATGAAAGCACACACGAAAGGCAAGATTAGTCCTGCCAAAAATCACAGACAAGGCATCAGAATTAATGCCAGAAATAACTCCATACGAAATCAAAACGTCACTTTTAAAAATGAAAAATCACCTGGCGATGATGGAGTAGTGATCGAAGCGATCAAACACTGCAGGCGGTTTCGCTTAATTCTAGTGGTAATATCTTTACCACCAAACGTATGCTTGTAGAGATTCTGCAGTTCAAAGTTATATCTACACCTCCATATTCCGTTCTCATAGACCGCTCCGAATATCTTGCGTAGCACCTTTCTTTCAAAAATCAATAGAGCGGATTCATCTGTTTTAGTTAGGGTCCATGCCTCTGATCTATATCTGAGAACAGGGACTATCAGTGTTCTATACAGTCTTATAAGGGTTTTTTGAGACAGACGTTTGTTAGCTAAGTGCAATTATTATTTGCCTTTTTATTTCCTCAGATCTGTTATTATTGGAGTTATTCCGCGGTAATTATTGCATTCCAGTTGGTTTCCCTTTTTGTGTAACAGGCAAATTAAGCCTAAGCTCTATTCTTCAGGCATTTGCTCCTCAGACCAAATTTTACAATGTCTTGCATCACCTTGGTGAGCTGCTCTCTATATATATTCGGTTTTATAACGTCTTACGACGTTGTCCGACTCTCAAACGCCACTATATTCTGTCTTAAGTCAGGTCTTCGTCCAGATTTCGAGAGTTAATCGCTTTCCTAACTCCCAGGTTCCAGCTCTGTGGTGGTCTTCCTCGTTTCCTCTTCTCTGGGGGTTGCCACATTATCGTTTTTTAGGCAATCTTTCGTTCCCCATTCGGCTCACATGTCCATACCATATGAGCTGTTTTCTCTCAATATCCTCAACTATAGTGCCCTCTATACCCATTTGTTGTTTTATCGCTTCATTCCGTATTCTGTCGGCTCTTGATATTCTCATCGATCTTCTGATGGCATCCATTTCCGTTTCTTCGACCTTTTTCTTATATTTCTCGGTTATTCTCCATGTTTCAGTCCATAAAGTAGGCTAGTTTTAACCATTGTCTCATAGATGTTACATTTTCTTTTCTTTGATATTTCTTTACTCCATAGAACTCCGTTCAAACATGCTATAGCTCTTCGTGCTTGTACAATTCGATGTTCTATTTCTCGTTCGTATTTTCCACTACAATCGAAGATGACGCCCAGGTATTTATATTCGTCACATGGATTTATTTTTTGATTGTCATCGATATCAAGTTGTTCTGCTTCAGCTCCAATTGAGAGATATTTTGTCTTTTCTAAATTGATATTTAATTCCCATTTCTGGTATTCTTCAATTAGTTTTCTAAGCATGTAGTCCATGTCGTCTTTGTCATTTGAGATCACCACTTGATCATCTACAAACTGTAAAGTATATATGTAATCCTGATCGTTCAATTGTATACCCATTCCTTTGACTTTCCTTTTCCATTGTTTCAGAGCTGCAGAGGTATAAATCTTAAACAGAGTCGGAGAGATACAACATCCTTGTCTGAGATCCTTAGTAACTGCAAATTTTTCAGCTCACTCTCAAGAGGTTTCCGAATTTCATTTGAGAGTTTGAATTATAATATAGATCTTTGAGAGCACTAACCACTGTTTGATGTATGTTTGATGTGCCCAGGACTTCCCATAGTTTATTTAGCGGGACTGTGTCATATGCCTTCTCAAGATCTACAAAAGTCATATGTACCTCTCTATTTGTCACAACTTTTTTCTATAATTGAGAGCTGCTTTCTACCGTGCTTAAATGCCATCGCTGCCTGGGGATTTGTGGTTCCTTAGTTTTTCTATAAGTAAGTTACCTTCCTTATCATTACAATAGTTGATTATCGCTTTTAATTCTTTACTAATAATATTTATTTGATGATAAAACTTACTTGTTTCTCCGTGGCTCATATGGCTTTCGAGCCGTTCTAATATGTCATTTTCCGAGTCTCGTTTCTTTTTTCGGTATATCCGTTTTTCCTCTCTCCTTAAGTTTTTGTATCTATCTATTGTTGTCCTAATTTTCCGTTTTTATGTGGTCCTAAATGCCTCGTTCTTCTCATCTATCATTTTTTTTGTAGTCTTGGTCGAACCAGTCGTTTCTTTCTTGGGTTCGGGATATTCCCAATGTGCTTTCGGCTGCTAATTTCAGAGCCTCCTTGCAGTTGTTCCATATTTCCGTGCTTGACTGGTCGACTGCCCAGGTGTGTTCTAGGGTTTCTTTTGTATGTGACTGGAACTGTTTCTCTTTGTTTTCATTTTTTAGCATATGTAAATTATATTTTACTTGTTTAGTGCCCCTTTCTTTCTTAGCAGGGACACCTATATATTTTGTCTATAATATATGAAAATTTTCAAATAATAATTGTTTTTTTTTTTATTTAAATTAACCGTACTAACTGCTAAAGTTTTTTTTACTTCGCTTATTAAATCCGAGTGACTGCGATACATCGGGTGAAAATAATAAAGTAAACTAGGAGATTTTATATGTATTGAGTAATCGTTACTTAGTTACAGCACCCAACTCGTGATATATTTATTATAATTTTCTACACATGACGACCATTTGTTCTGAAAATTGGAAAATAAAATAAGTTTTCAGTAAGGAAAACAAAAATCGGACAATTTAATAAGAATATACAATTCTTTTTTTTTTTCATTTTGTTTAACTTAAAATTGAAAATGTACCACTTAACACTAACTTAAAACTTACCAACATTCGAATTCTACTTCATCACCACCAATATGAATATACCTGTCAGCAAAAGTTTCGCTTATTTCCGTAAATAGATTTTTCAAAAACACATAAGTTTCATTTTTAGTAGGATCGATGGGCCCGTATTTTCCTGTATAATTTTTTTCACAGGCGGTTAGTATTTCCGGATGAGCTACACCCCAAGATCTTGTATGTCCTATTATCAAAAAAAAAGAATAGTTTTTAGTTAGAGTATCTACATTTTTCGTACACCAGAAAGTAAAATAGAGGGTGACCCAACGAAAACAAAATTGAGCTATTATAAGGACTAAAGCAACCAAGTACCTTGGGCTATATGTGGACCAAACCCTGTGTTGGATGGAACATATCACCAAAAAATGAAAACACATACATGATCCGGTTGAACACATATGACATGAGCTAAAATCATCGGTAAGGAGAAGTAATGTTTCGCCCACCCTAAATTCATCTGTGGTTCGTCTAATTGAATTAGAAATGAAGAAAATAGGCAATGACTGCTGGAAAAATATTGTTGCCCATATTCTAAAGATAGAAAGATTTTATATAAATACAGTTTGCTGAACTGCAATAGGTTGTCCAAAGAAACAGCTTTTATAGATCTAGATAACGACAGTGATATTTACAGTGACATTTTTTTAATGTAAGTACTTTTTGAATTGTATTTATAAATAAAGGGCCACGAGTAAGAACGATCAGACTCCATTTTTGGTCGGAATTTAGATATTGACGTCATATTTAAGCTTTTCTTGGAAAGAACCCAAGCATGATTTCGTTTGTACAATAACGATCACCGTACTGAAGATAATAAAGGGGAAAGATATAAGCCAACGATCAGGTTCCTCGCGCTGACGGTTAATAACGATCACATTCCGACGACCTTGTAACTAAACGTAGATTGTCGTTTGCATCTATACTCTATAGCATCTTAGCGTCAGTTCTATTCTGTAATTACTAAGCGAGCTGCTGCTGTTTTGTAGTTTTCATTAGTTTGTTTTTGAGCAAATTCATAATGTCAAGCGATCTTAGTGATAGTGATATATCTAATGGAAATAATCGCCCAGGAAATGTCAAAAAGCGGAGAAAAACCGGCAAAATGAGTTATGTAATGAAAAAATTACGCATCAACACTCACGAGGTCGGTGAAGACTGTAAGTGCATTCGTTACAACTGTTTTCAAGTCATCCCTTTGAATGAAAGACAACGACTAATTTCTCATTTTAATGAGTTGGGGGACTACAGTGTTCAAAACAAATATTTAACAGGTCTTGTCACGGTTATACCTGTTGGTAGACGGAGAAGCCAAAACCCTAAATCTGAAGCAAGTTTTAATCAATCTTCTTATAGCTATAGAGTTCGGGTAAATGTGAGTGGCTCGTTACAAGATACTGTTGTTTGCTATAAAGCATTTTTGTCTTTACACATTTGTCCCTTCTTTATGTGCCAAAATGTCCTACGGCGACTAGGCCTATCAGGATTTTAAAAATAAAAAAAAACACCCACGGTTTGTGTTACACAAAGACCATTATTTTGGCCTATATCTTACAGCCATATAAGTTCCCTCAAAAAATCAGGCATGTAAGAGAAAATTGAAAACTTTTCCACTAAAAAGCTATATAATGAACTTCTGCCTATTAAGACTGCTAAGTGGCATGATTTATTTATTACACCTAACCCAATTCCTGACAAACCCTGAAGCTCATTCCTTTTGCCAAGGACTAGTTTCCAATGGCGGTACGAATGAAAGTAGTGATGTGGAATTTGCCAAAGATCCACCAATCGACATTTAACGCGCAAAATAGATCAGAGTCCAGCTCCTTAATTAAAAATTTGAAGATTTCAAGTACATATATAATTACCAAACTATTTTTTTTTTCATTTTTGTATTAAAAAGTCTTACAGTAATAAACTGATAACTAAATATTTTACATTTAATTTTCCTGAACCAAAATTAACGACTTAAAATTTTAAAATTCGATTTCTACAAAATGAACAAAATGTGAGTCTGATCGTTCTTTCCCGTGGCCCTTCAAATGGTAATGTTTCTATGTATACGTAATTGATGTAAATATTTTTAAATTCAGTTGATAACGGTATAAAAGCAGCTTTTAGACACACCTCAATTTTGAAAATAATTTTCTAAAATATTTTTGCTTGTTCTTTTTGTACTCTATTAAGAAATAATAAAGTTTTGTAAATATTTGAATGTAGTGTATGTAAATATTTTTGCAACTTTTATAAGTTTAGTAGAGAATGATAAATACCGGCTTTTGTCGGTAATGATGACTCTCTTAGATCTCTGATAAGACTATATCAACGAATGTCGTGAAAATTCTTAGTTCTTAGCTCTCTGGTCTAAGTAACATAGACACATGATTCTTTCACTGGAAGGGACCACATCACGCTAGAATCGAGGGACACAAACTAAACTCATCCTCATCACAACAACTTATAAAATACGTATTTTTATTCTGATTGTTAAATTATTAGTTAAAATAAAAAAAGCTGTTATCAGTAACTGTACTAAATTAAAAAGAACACAGTAAATTGCATCGGTAAAAATAAGGTAAGCAGAATAAATAAAATTAAAGTTGACAGCAAGTTAATTTATAAGTATAGAGGAAAAAGACATCAAATGTGAAATCAAATAAAGATCAAAAAAAGAGAGAGGAGATGAAATATTTCTGTGGAAGAAATTAATATTTATGTGGTTTAAGACAAAATTTTATATATTTTTTTCACCTGGTGTGTCAAATTCTGGAATAACTCTAATTCCTTTTAATCTGGCATATTCTATAACCATCTTTATATCTGCATACGAATAGGTTTTGTAGGGTGTATATGCTCCTTTTGCGCTAAAAAATAACAATTAATAAATAAAATAAATAAACAAACCTACCATAAAGTTTTTTTCTACTAACCCTTTAATGCATACTGTTGCAGAAGTAAAACATAGCGAATTACATCTCCTGTTGTTCTGTGCGTTTACAATGACATGCTTTATTGCATGGTGAGCTATTTGTACAACATAGCTCATGCAATGCAAAACAAATTGTTTATATTGTGCTATATAAGGTAAGTAGATAACGTTTTATTGCCTTCCTCTTATTCTTCTACGGCACTACAGCCCAAATTGAGCCTTGACCTCCTTTATTTTTTGCCTCCACCATTGCTTGTCCGTTGCTGATCTTCTCCATACACGAACTTATAAAAAGGCTTGTGCGTCACTGTTTACTGTGTCTTCCCAGTGCTTTCTTGGCTTTCCAACTGTTCTCTTTCCCTGCCATGACATGCTTTAATGCATGGTGAGCTATTTGTACAACATAGCTCATGCAATGCAAAACAAATTGTTTATATTGTGCTATATAAGGTAAGTAGATAACGTTTTATTGCCTTCCTCTTATTCTTCTACGGCACTACAGACCAAATTGAGCCTTGACCTCCTTTTATTTTTTGCCTCCACCATTGCTTGTCTGTTGCTGATCTTCTCCATACACGAACTCCTAAAAAGGCTTGTGCGTCACTGTTTACTGTGTCTTCCCAGTGCTTTCTTGGCTTTCCAACTGGTCTCTTTCCCTGCATTCTAGCATTCAGTGCTCTTTGGTAGCATATCTTCTTCCATTCTTATCACATGGTGAATTCTGGTGAAGTCTGACAGTATAAAGTTGATAAAACTCGTTGTTTTATCGACTTATAAAGATTCCGTTTTTCCTCACAGGTCCTAGTATTCTTCTCCGTACTTTCCTTTTGAATGTATCGAGTTTGCTTTTGGATATTTCTTTCAGGAGCCATGCTTTACTGCCATAGCATGCCCTTGGTCGAATTAAGGTATTATAGATTCTGATCTTTGTATTTCGGTGGACATTTTTAGACCGAAATATATGGAAGAAGGCAAAATAAGCTCTGTTTGCCTCTACTATTCTCTTCCGTATTTCTCCATCTTCTGATCCTTCAGCATATATTTCTACTTCCGGGTATGTAAACTTTCCAACTGTTTCAATGTCATTTTTATATATAATGTTTTGTGGGACTATATGTCTTCTCGTCTGTATCATTATTTTTGTTTTTTCTGTGTTAATTTCCAGGTCTAACATTTTTGTTTGCGTTTTTAACTCTGGGTATGTTTCCTGTGCTCCTGTTGGTGTTCTACTCATAATATTAATATTATTGGCATAAGCGGCAAGTTGAACCGTTCGTTCGTAGGTTTCCTTGTTTAGTTTACATTTGCCTAACCGCGTACTCCAGTGTCAGGTTAAACAAAGTTGGGGACAGCCCATCTCCTTGCTTTAATCCCTGCGAAATTTTGAAGAGTTTCATCCATTATGGCTTTAATGAGTCTAATTAGCTTGTGTGGTATTGCCAATTTAGCCAATATATTGTAGAGTTTGTTCCTTTTAAAGAGTCGTATGCCTGTTTGAAAGCTACAAACACGTTGTTAACATCAATATCATGTTCCCATGATTTACCCAAGATCTGTTTGTAATTATTTGATCCAGTGTCGATCTTCATAATTTTCGACATAATTTTCTGCTAGTGGTTAGAGCCGCTGGTTTATAATATGTGAGGACGTTATATACTGTACATAGTAGAGAAATTCCTAGTTAGTTTTTGCACTGGAGTTTGTTTCCTTTTTTCTAGATCGGTCATACTATACTTTTCTTCCAGTCGTTAGGTATTTTCTCTTCTTGCCTTATGTCTTTGATGAGCTCTTTTATTGCCTAGAAATACCGTATTTTGGTATTTAGCAAATATGATGTACTAAAATATTTATGTTGAAGAAATATAACACTATCGTCTTCTTCTTAAAGTTCCATTTCCTATCGGAGGTTGGATAAGTTGTAGTGAACTACAGTTAAACCATTCTCTAAGGTTCCTCAGCCAGGAGATGCGTCTTCTTCCTATGCTTCTTCTTCCTTGGATCCTTCCTTGCATAATAATTCTTAGCAGCTCATATTTTTCTCCTCTAGTTATGTGACCCAAATACTTTAGTTTTCTTTTTTTTATGCTGTTCATAATTTCTAACTCCTTATTTAGACGTCGTAGTATCTCAGCATTGGTAATCCTTCGAACCTACTGAATTTTTAATATTCTTCTGTAACACCACATTCCGAACGATTCTCTTTTTCTTATGTGTTGTTTCTTCAATGTCCAAGCTTCCATTCCGTATAGTAAGATAGAAAATCAGTAATCTTAGAGCCCTCAATCTGAGATGCAACTGAAGGTCTCTGTTGGTAAGCATTGTCTTCATTTTCACAGATGCTTGCCTTGCAGTTTCAATTCGGACTTTGATTTCTCTGTTTTGGTCATTTTTGTCCTCAACCCAGGTTCCCAGATATTTGTATGTCTCTACTTTTTCTATTTGGGTTTGCTCTATCATTAATCTTTCATTTCCATGTTGCATAAATCATAAATTTAGTTTTTCTCTTATTTATTTTCAGTCCGTATCTAATGCAATAATCGTTAACTCTATTTACCAATTCTTGTAGCGATTCCAGGGTGCTGCCAATATAACGGTGTCATCAGCGAATCTTATGTTATTTACCATTCTTCCGTTTACAGAGATTCCATCACCCAGATCCGCTATCGCTTCCTGGAATATAGCTTCACTGTACATGTTAAACAGTAATGGTGACAGAACACAGCCCTGTCTTACTCCTCTCTTTATATCTATATTTTCGGACTTTTGTTCTTCTATATTTATATTGGCCTTTTGATTCCAGTACAGATTGATAATGATTCGTAAGTCTCATCTGTCTATATCTTTGTTTCTCAGTACTTCTATTAGTTTTTCATGTCGGACCCTGTCGAATGCCTTCTCGAAGTCGATGAAACAGGAATAAATATCTAGGTTCATATCTAAGCATCTTTGAGAGTGGACATTAAAAGCAAGCAATGCCTCTCTCGTTTCCAGTCCCTTGCGGAACCCAAACTGAGTATCATCCATATCATCTTCTAGTTTTCTATATATTCTTCCATGAATCACCTTTAGAAATATTTTGAGGGTATGGCTTATTAGCGATATTGTCCTATAATCTGAACAATCTTTGGCATATACTGTTTTTGGTATTTCTACAATGGTAGACACCAACCAATCCTGTGGGATTTTTTCAGTTTTATATACTTCATTAAAAAGGTCCAGAAGTACAGGTAGAGTTTCATCGTCTAGACATTTCAGTAGTTCCGCAGGTATTTCGTTATTACAGTTTTTGTTTTTGCGTTTCGTATTGCTTGTTCGATTTCCTCTATTATGATCTCCGGCCCCGTTTTGCTTTCGATTTCTTCCGGTTCTTGTCGATTATCCTCAAACAGATCTGTTATGTATGTCTTCCATTTTTTAAGGGCATCTTTCTTTTTTCTCAGTGTATTTGTCATTTTCTTTATTTTCTTACTCCTGCCTTTATGTTTCCTTCTTTTCTCCATTAGATCTAAGATTTCTTAAGTCATCCATCTCTGTTTTTTTCTTATTTTTGTCTGCAGTAGCTTTTCTCCTGCCTTTATTAAAGTTTCCTGTACCATGTTCCATTTGTCATTAATATCTGTTGTTTTTATCACGTCTTGTTTTTATCACGTTTTTATCATAACACTATCTAGCTAGCGCTTATTTTTTATCACATACGATTTTATTACATCGATTATTGAAGCAGTACTTAGATATATAGTTACAGGATACATAAATATATAAGTATATACATGTACATAAAACATACTTACCTTAGTTCTGGAAATTTTCTACTAACATACGGGAAGCTCTGATCGTCCACTATATGCCAATGGAACACGTTTAATTTATTATAAACCATTGCATCAATGGTAAGTAAAAGAGATTTTAGAGGAATGAAGTGTCTTGATGTATCCAAAAGAAGTCCACGGTGTGAGAATCTAGGGCTATCTTCCACAATAGTCTGGTTAATTTTAAGCTAAAATAAATAAGCAGAAGCATATCACATTTTGTGTATCTTTTTTTCTGAAAAAGTTTTCTGTTGACGTCAATTTTCTAAATAGACAAGTTTTTCAGTTATCGGCAAAATAACGAGTTTGTGGTTTTAATTGTTTATTTAAAAATTGTTCCATTAAAAATTTATGAATTGATTTTTGTGATTTTTCATATTCTAATTGCCATTTTTTTGCTTTATTTTAAAATCTTTTTAAACACTATTTCTTTGTAATTTGCTAATATTTGAGAAAATTTTCATTGGGCTTTTTAAGGAACTTTCCTATGGTAATTTTTTTTATACAATAAATCTGCCTTTATGACAAGTTTATTATTTTTTGAGATTTAGGTCTTTTCAAAGAGTGTGGACACTTGGTAGAGCAAACGTTGGTCTGTTTAGAATCTTGAATCTCATCCCGAACGAGAAATTCATGGACTTGTAATTAATCCACAACCGGGCCCCATTCCACGACGATTCCATTCGTACGAGAAATCCATGAACTGGTAATATAATTACCACCAGGCTCCATTTATACAGTGCTTTATATAAGCAAATATTTTATACAGTGACCAAGATCCACCATCTAATGAATAAATAGAAGATCTAATACCGCAGTGGTACCGACGATATCGTCAACTTTTCATCCTGCAGCCATAAATTGAAAACAGAATGCCTTCAGCCTTCAGCGATATAATTTTTGTTTGGACGCTGCATTCATTTTTTAAACCTTCAAGCTGAATCTTGTATGGGACTTGCTGTTATGTAGAGACAAAGCTGCCAATTTATTCAATAAAATATGTTTGTTTAAATTTTCGTGCTTGTTCTTGCTACCACTGTTTGTCTTGCGAATTAGTCGACGTACCTCTGTCCAGGTTAAAGAACCACATGATTGTACGTATGGTGATGAAGAGGAGTGGTTTAGTTAAGGTTAATCTCCTTACGCTCTGAATTGAATCGTGGATTCCAAAAAGGTAACACCCATGTGACAATTACAAGACAATGGTGCAGTATGGTTAAGCATTACACAATGAGGTTCAATTTTCAATAAAGCTAACATTACAATTTAATTTCATTTACTTACGGATAATCCATGATCTGCTATATATATCATTTGGGAAAAGGATTCCAAACCTCTAAGAATGCCCCAAACTGAACTTGAATTTAGTTGTTTTAAATCTTCAGATATAACTATTGTATCTAGAACATAAAAATATAGTTCTGAAGCTATTCTTGTGGCATTTTTATTACAGTTTACTATCTGTAAAGGAAAATAACCACAATTTCATTTTAAAATACACCATCTTACAAACACCTATGCCCAGGCAAATGTTAGGTTAATAGACACAATCCAATGTGAAGCACAAACATATTTAATACATATTAAATAAGTGAGAAAGAGAAACGACAAGGAACAAGTCGTGGGAAAGCATGGAGTCAATGATAGAAATGAGGGGCGAAAGATTGGTTCAGTTTGCACACTACCAAAACATGCCAATTGCAAATACATTTTTTAAGAAAAACCCAAACAGAAAATGGACTTGGGTAGCACCAAATGGAATCACTAGGAACGAAATTAACTTCATTCTAACCAACAAAATTGCTACTACAAAAGATATCAGTGTAATATCAAACAAGCAGCGGCCATAGACCAAACAGAGCAAACGTTAATCTGGATCTGAAACTAGAAAGAATATAATGAATCAAAAAACCAAAATTAACTGGTATAAATATTAACTAGTAACATAAAACATAAAATGTATAACTATTAACTAGTAACATATAAAGTAAACTCAGATCAGTACCAAATGACTATTGATGAAAGAATACATGACCAAATCGACACTTCTCAGTTAATGGAAATCATCATTGAAAGTGCCAAACAAATCGGATTCCGCAACAACAAAATCAACATAGGAAACTGTTTGATAAAACTGAAATAATGCTAAAACAAAGAAAGGAAATGAAAGTCAGCAGCAACACACAAAGAATACAATACACAGAACTTTCTAAGACAATAAGAAAAAGTATTAAGGAAGACATAAGAAAATTCAATGAAAGACTGGTAGAAAATGCAATCGAAAACAGGAAAAACTATATAGTCCAGGCTGTGAGGCCGCTCCCGTTGGGAAAATGTTTCTGATTCGGTTTCTTCGCGGATTCCGGTTCAAAAATGTCCCCTTTAAACAAATCTGAACGATGGCGGGCGAAATTTTTGGGCAGAAATTGTTTAAACAAATTCCAAAAATAATTTTTTTTAATCTGGAAAACGTTTTTTAGGTTCTTTGGATCATTTTAAACAGAATTGTCATTTTTCTCTAAAGTTGATAGTTTTCGAGTTATAAGCGATTTAAAGTCTGAAAAACGCGAAAATACGCATTTTTGAGGCTTGAAAACACATATGTAAATTATTATTTTTGGGGTTACCAAGTGTCTAAATTGAAGTTTAAACATTCAACTTCAAGATTGTGGGGCTTATTTTAATTGTTTTAAACCGTTGTTTTTTAATTGTTAAGTATGCGCATACAATCGATTTTTCAGCCGCCGCGGCGCGGCCCGCTATCGTGCGCCTCTATCGTACTTATGCATAGTTCACATATACTTACACATACTTACAAATAATTATTATTTATTGAGTATATATTTATTTATATCAATTGAGTTATAATTAATACATTTTATGTAAGTTTGCCTTATACCTCCTTTTTTTTCTTGATTACATATCACACACTTACCATTATCTTCACCGAGAGTATGACGTAAAGAGTATGAAGTGTCGGATGATCCTAAAGTTGATTGTTTCTTATGGCTTGTGCCCTCATAGTTCTCAGTTTCTTATTTTGCTAATTGAATTTCTCTACGTCTAACTTTTTCTTCACTCACGTAAGATGAAAAACACGTTTTATGCCAATAAAATTTTTATTTTTGAATATTTGTATCATATAATGAATTAAATTTTTCAGTCACACTGCCTTTTCGTCGAAGAGCAGCATTTTGTATTGTTATGTAAGAATCTACTTTAGGTTTTTGCACTAACTTTCATAATTTTTTTAATTTAATAACACATTAATAATATAATACCCTTTTAATGGGCAATAAACAATAGTCTTAACAATTAAAAAACAACGGTCTAAATTAAAATAAGCCCCGATTACTCTTCACAATATTGAAGTTGAATGTTTAAACTTCAATTTAGACACTTGGTAACCCCAAAAATAATAATTTACATAATATGTGTTTTCAAGCCTCAAAAATGCGTATTTTCGCGTTTTTCAGACTTTAAATCGCTTATAACTAGAAAACTATCAGCTTTAGAGAAAAATGACGAGAAACCTTTTTTATTTAGAATGACCCAAAAAACCTAAAAAAAAACGTTTTCCAGATTAAAAAAAATATTTTTGGAATTTGTTTAAAAAAATTGTTTAAACAATTTCTGCCCAAAAATTTCGCCCAGCACCCTTCAGATTTGTTTAAAGGGGACATTTTTTAACCGGAATCCGCGAATAAACCGAATCAGAAACATTTTCCCAACGGGAGCGACCTCACAGCCTGGACTAATAAGAAAATAAGAAAGGCATTAATCATTGGGAAGAAGCAAATCGTTGCTCTAACAAACGAAAACAATAGAATTTTAGACAGAAAGGAAATAATACAACTTTTAACTAAATTCTACAGCCAACTAGACAAAGCCCCTGACACACTTGAAGAAGTAATAATTGGCCAAGAAGATGTACCAGATGTTCATCCGGAAGAAGTAGAATCAACAATTACAAAAATAAAAAGCGGTAAGGCAGCTGGAATAGATGGTATAACAGTGGAACTGCTTAAATAAGCTGGCAATAAAATCTGGAAAATAGTAGCAGGCATATTTACGAACTGCCTAAGATCAAAATGTATACCAAACCACTGGAAATACAGCAAACATAATTGAGGCAGTAATATAAGTTTTGACCAACCAAGGCATTGACAAACCGTACATAGACCTTTAGCAAATATATACAGACAAGCAAAAGCTGAAGAAAAAAGCATTCGATTAGTGTATACTACCAATCATGACATACGGCTGCAAAACTTGGACACCAAAGAAAGAGATAATATCGAATCTCAGTCACTCAAAGATTAATGGAGCGATGCATGCTAGGTATAACAAAGAGAGATCGAAAAAGAATAGAATGGATCAGAGAGAAAATCAAGGTTATTGATGTAACCCACAGAATTAAATCCTTTAAAATGGCAGTGGGCGGAGTATTTATCGAGAAAAACTGACAATATGTAATATATTGTCATGATACATTAGATTACACTCTGGTATCCAAGAGGAGTCAAGAAAACAAGAAGACGTCCAAATTTAAGATGGAACTATGACATAAGGAAACTAGCCGGTATAACATGGCACAGAAAAATGAATTTTAGACAATCCTGGGCAGATATCAAGAATGAATATATAAGGGAGGCTACACCATAATCATTAGAATATACTGAGAGTGATGATGTTGATGATGACGATGATGATATACTTATATAGGGAGCTATATTTTTATAAAATAAGTCATCTAATGTTAAAATAAATAAACTTACAATCTTCTAGCATATCGTCTGAAGGAAATTCGTTTCCCGTACATGGCGAATCAAGCTTTATTTCAAGTGTTTCAAAAATTCCTAGTGAAGCAGGATCATACAACGATGATGTATTCGAATTATTTTCAAGTACTTTAAGTTTCTCTTCTTCTGAAACGCCACCTTCTGAAATAACGTGTAGATAGTACACTATCGCATTTCTTATTAGTGAACATTCATATTTTATTGCCTGTAAAATAATATAATATTACATATTAATACAATTATTCGTTTACATTTATTTATATGAAATTTTTAGAAGGTATAGATAGACAGTAGAGATTTGCACGTGCGTGGTTCTTAATCGACTTAATCGAATAAGACACGCGAAAACACAATGCCATAGTAAAGAATGTAATGAAATTAAACAATATGAAAAGAAACACGATACATTTCATCGTCACAAGTCATTAAAAGAGGTCGCTGGAAACAAACGGAAACAAGTATCCCAAAGTTTAGAAGACAGAAACGGACACAGAATATTAGACATCAATGAACAGTTAAAAGAATGGAAAACTACATTTCTGAATTATTTTAAGACGAGAGTGTAGAACACTATCGATGCTATATCAGATCCATCTATAACAGAAAATGAGGTTACACGTTCAATACAAACGGCACAAAATGGAAAAGCACTTGGCTCCGATGAAGTAATTGCTGAAATACTAAAGTTTTTGGAAGAAAATGGAATTAAAGCTTTGTGTAATCTCTTTAAAAGAATTTATGACACTGGAATATTACTAACTGATTGGTTAAAGTCGACATTTGTCGCAATTCCTAAGAAACATCGTCCAAAGACATGCGGTGATTATCGGACAATAAGTCTGATGAGTCACGTTTTGAAGATCTTCCTGTGAGTAATACACAGCAGAATTTACACGCTGTTAGAGAACAGAATTAGCAATACTCAATTTGGGTTTAGGACTGGCTTGGGTACAAGAGAAGCCTTGTAGTATACAGGTGCTAGTGTAGAGGTGAATAAATCAAAATGTGTACATTTGTGCAATCGATTTTGAAAAGGCTTTTGACAAAGACCGACATAACAAAATGCTAGAAATATTGAAAACAGCTGGATTGGACGATAAAGATCTACAAATAATTACAAATCTATACTGGCATCAAGTGGCAAGATAAAGGTTAAAAAAGAACTGTCGGATGAAATAAATATTAAAAGAGGAGTGAGACCAGACTGTATATTGTCGCCTTTATTTTTTAACTTATATTAGGAGGAAATATTTAAGGAAGCCTTAATGGAGACAACCGAAGGTATTATTGTTAATGGAGTAACCGTCAACAATATTAGATATGCCGACGATACCTTAGTGCTTGCTAATTGCGGAGAAGACCTTCAAAATCTTATGAACAAAATAAAACAGACTTATGATCAGTATGGATTAAAACTCAACGTTAATAAAACTAAATATATGATAGTTAGCAAAAAAAATTATATACAGGATGACGGTATAAAAGTCGAAGATGCCACACTGGATAGAGTAGAGAAACTCGTGTATCTCGGCAGTAATATCAATTAGAGCTGGGATTCAACCGCAGAAATTAAAAGCCGAATAGAACAAGCCCGAGCTGCCTTTGTAAAAATGAGAAACGTACTTTGCAGTCACGATCTTAGCACTGATCTTAGAGTTCGAATGACATCTTTCTACATCTTTCCTGTCTTACTGTATGGAGTGGAAGCGTGGACTCTAACTGAGGCTATCCTTAAAAGCTTAACAGTCTTTGAGATATTGTTATACAGACGACTACTAAAAATAAGCTGGGTTGACAGAGTTAGAAATGACAAGGTCCTTAGACGGCTGAACCAAACAACACAACTGGTCAATATAATAAAGAATTGCAAGCTGGAATACTTCGGTCACATTATGAGACACTCTGAAAAATATGATCTTTTACATCTGACCAGTCAGGGAAAGATCGAAGGTACTCGAAGTCCTAGTAGAAGAAGAACATCATGGATGAAAAATCTAAGGCAATGGTATGGAAAATCAACTACATCGTTATTTAGAGCTGCTGTTAATAAAGTCACGATAGCGAATATGGTAGCCAACATGATATCCAACGATCGATAACGTTCATGGAACTAGAAGAAGAAGGTTTTAATCCCAATTCAGGCACCCGCTTACGGTTACATCGACCTATCGGAGCGTTTATATTTCAATATAATACAGTTGTTCTTTGGTAATTCTAAAGGTATGGGACCAGAGGGGTGTCGGATTACCAAAAGGGTTTGGATTACCGAAAGTGATTATATATTTGGCATTGTTTTGCTAGCAGTAGCCTACAATATTGTTAAATTTTATGAATAAAATGCTACCCAGATTAATATGCAAGTGAAAGACCCATTTCGGCTAATTAAAACATGTTTATTAAAAGAAATATGAAAGCTAATAAATTATGTGCATACAGAGTGTAAATAATAACTTATAAACATTACATGTATTAATAAATAAATGTCGCAACCAAGGTAGATTAATTATGGATGTATGTAAATATATACTGTGCTAACACCTTAAAGAAATATGTGACTGACTTTTGTTTTTTATTGTTTAAACAGTCTGTCGTTACTTATTCTTGTATCTCCTTTAACATCAAACTTTTTTGAGTCAAATGCTCTCTCCTCGCACCAACGTATTATAGTATTTGCAACCAATATAGCAGTATCACAGTTGACGGAAAAAGCTTTTTCATCCTGTGCTTCCTGGGTCACGTGTTCATCCGATTCTGTCATTGATTTAATTATTTATTTATCTGTTAAGTCAGCATTGAGATTGTCATCTAAAATCCACTATTGTAAAGCTTCTCTTGATTCTGATGCATTAGTCATATCGTTGCAAATTTTAAAGGCAGCATCTAGTACAACTTGCACGGGTTGGTCATTGGATTCTATGTTAACTTCTAATGGAAGGAGTGGGTTGTTGGGTCAAATATTCTTTCACGATTTAATTAGCATAGTAGACTTGAATTGCTGCCAGGCAAACGCAGTATTTTTTTTATTACAAAAGAAAACATTGTCGCATCCACCAACAGGTTATTAGCGGCGTTACTCAGTAAATAAAACATTAAATCTGATACAAAATATTGATTGACCTTAGGTAATTTAATAAATTTTTTACGTGACAGTTTGCTCCTAATAAATCTGGTAGAGTATTTGGTATATGGTTTATTGAACGTTCTATATGGTATTTTGGACACTCAATTAACAAATGGACGACGGTAAGAGGCATAGACATAGGTCGCACAGGGGATGTTCACTGGCCGAAAGTAAATAAAAGTGTGTGATGTTAATGTGTCCTATACGTAGGCTCGTTGGAACTGTTTAAATAAACCGTGTACTAGCACTAGTTTTCCAGTGTCGTTTATCGTCACAGACCAATAACTTTTTGTTTAAAAAACGTTTTGAGATCTTTACATGCATTCTCACGCACAAATTTAGATTCCGTACTTATTGCTGCATTACGAGCACCATTGTCTGCCTTTTCATCGCTGATAATTCCTATATGCGATAGGATTCATATAAATTTAGGAGTTATGTGGTTCCTGTGGTTTTCATGTTTTAGGGCACGGTACAAAGCAAACAGCTCAGCGGTGAAAACACTTGAGCTAGGCGATAGTTTTAATTTAAAAGTAGACGTTGGAGTAACAAATGCACAACCAATGTCATCATTAGATTTTGAGGCATTCGTAAAGATGTTTGTGCAGTTAAGGTAGTCTCATTCAAAAATCTTTTTTTTGGGAAACTCAGAGAGGTGTTGCAATTTGGGATGCTTATTCATCATGGAGTCGGATGTGTTACAGTGAAATACATCTGGGCTTGTTGTGTCAAAATTATTCAGAATTAATCTTACTCGTGTGTAACGTGTGTAATAAGGTTTTCTAGTACGAGGTTTATTAAAGAGAAAGTCAAATGTATTTTTAGAAAAAGTTTAAAGATCATCCACAAAGTAGATGATCCTTATTAGTAGCTACAGAAGAAGCATGTGAAAGTGGTAAAAGTGCCGGAAACTGAAACGGTTCTCCAGTTTCGGAATATGAGCTCTTTATGTGTGAAGTGTGGAAAACTCCGAGAACGATCCAAAGTGCGGCATTATGAATTATATCTAACGGTTTTAGAGTACTCTTGCTAGGCGTTTCCACATTGGTCCTGCGACTCTTTTGATATCGTCGCTCCAGCGCATTTGAGGTCTTCCTCTTGGTCTCTTCGCATCGTACGGTCGCCAGTTTCCGACTTCTTTGTTCCATCTACCATCTTCGAGACGTTGGTTGTGTCCAGCCCATTTCCATTTTAATTTAACTGCTTGTTTCGCGGCGTCCTTTATTTTTGTTTTGTTCCGGATTGTTTCGTTCGTTTGCCGATCTATTAGTGAGATACCAAGATCTGTCGTTCCATGGCTCGCTAAGTTTTTCGAATCTTGTCCATATTCTTTTTTGTGAATGTCCAGGTTTGAGCTCCGTAAGTGAGAACGGGAAGGATACAAGAATCGAACACTTTGGTTCGAAGGTTATTTGGTATCTTTTTGTCTATCAGTATGTAGGAGAGTTTTCCAAATGCGGCCCATAAATACCATAGATGTATAAATCTACTGAACACCGCACTTCAGCTGAGCACAAAAGTCATAATGAAAAAAATCAATAAACTAATAACTTTGTCAGATGAACAACAAGGAATCAGATTCGTGAAGATCCGGGCGTAGACGCCGTATTTATACTAAGACAAATCACAGAAAAAGCCATAGAGTAATAAACCAGCATATCTATGTTTTATTAACCCGACAAAGGCTTTTGATCGCATCCAAGTCGAAGACGTCTTACACCTACTGTATAAAATAAACATACCAATCAATATTATACAAACCATCAAAAACATCTACTTTCATAATCGAATACAGGCAAAGATAAATGAAAACTAACACAATGTATACCAGTACAAAGCGGAGTAAGACAGGGTGATTCGTTAAGCCCACTTGTCTTTAAGAGAAGAATGGACGAAATAATACAAGGAGTGCGTTAAAGTCATGGCTACAGAATAGGGAACAAACAAATCCAAATATTATGTTATGCAGACGACGCCGCATTAATTGCCGAGACAGAAGACGAAGCAGGAAGCAAGGTTTAGATAGCTGGGAATAGATATAACTAGTAACGTAGATAATGAAAAAGAAATACGACAACAAAGCTTAAAAGCAAGTAAAGCAGTGGGATCTCTTAATGACACAATCTGAAAGAACAAACACCTAAGACAAGACACAAAAACAAGAATCTATAAAGTAGCAATTAGATCTACATTATTAACATACACGGCTTAGACAAGATCTGACACATCTAAAACGAGACGACTGCTAGAAGACACAAAAATGAAAATACTTTGACGAATATCAGGGAAAAGTCTGTTGGATAGAGAGAGAAGCGAATACATAAGAAGATCATGCAATATAGAAGACATAAATGAATGGGTGACAAAACAGAAACAGGAGTAGAACAAACACATTAGTAAAATAGGATAGGATAGTACGAATGGCACGAGATAAGTCACCAAATGGACGAAGAAGTATCGGCAGATCAAGAAAAAGATGGTGCGACAATTTAAATAATTTAGGAGGCTAATATTAAAGAAGAATCATTCTTTAAGGCCCACATACACGAAGGAAGAAGAAGAGGAAGAAGCATTACATGCCAATTAACTTAAATATTGACTATGTATTAAAATAAATAAACTGTGCTCTTAACTTGAACGTGTGCCTAATTTGAACGATTGCATTGCAGAATGTACTATGAATAAGAAATATACTGAAATGGAGAATGTAGAGAATGTTTGAATTTGTTTAAAATGTAAAATTTCTTGTCTGCATTATTATACTGATCTGATATATATGTTGATAAAATTACGCATAGTTACTTACCTTAATATTTAGAGTCCGTGGATCAATTGTAAAAGAACTATTGCTCTTTAATTGATAGGACGGTCTTGGCCAGATCTCTCCTTTGGTTGGCGGAAATCTTGGACCTGGTTCTTCTATATATGTATGAACAAAAGTGGTGCACAATGCAGCTATCATAAATATCATTAGATACATTATTTATAGAATGCCTGGAAATAAACAAAATTGAGACTTTTCCAAATGGAGTATACATTTTCCAAACTGTACACAATAATTAAAAGTACATTTGATTTGATACAGTAAAACTAAATGTTTAGTTAATATGCGTGTAAGAATGAAGTTCTGTGGTTTTTTATGATAAAAATTGAATTTTTATCATTCCAAGTAGATACTGTAAATATTTTTATTTATATGAATACTTTTATTATATTTCTATTATCAGATATTTGCTTATACCAATGATTCAGCTGTGTTTATTGATTATTTTGTTTAATTAGTCCTTATCTTATTATTCAGATCAAAGACATTTTTAAACATACAATTTCCACATGAAACGCTCACGGCCAGCTTTATTAACCATAATAGGCCAGAAAAATTTAAAAATAAAAAGCCTTTCTCGTGACACTCTTTGATACAGGTATCTAAAGATTGCTTTTGATAAATTTGGTGACAACAATACTGCCCAACTAAGGAAAAGTGCTGTAAGTCCAAAAATATTGAATATTGAGTTATATACCTTCTTCTTCATGTGCCTTGTCCGTTCCGAACGTTGGCAATCAACATGGCTATTCTGACTTTGTTTACGGCAGATCTAAATAATTCAGCAGATGATAATCCGAACCATTGCCGCAAGTTTTGGAGCCACGAGTGTCTTCTCCTCCCTGGACCCCTTCTACTGTCTATTTTCCCTTGAACGATCAGCTGTAGTACTCTATATTTATTATGTCTCATAACGTGACCCAAGTATTCCAACTTTCTTTTCTTTATACTTATTCCTACCTCTCTCTCTTTAATTATCCGGCGTAATACCTCTTCGTTGGTCACGTGCTTAGTCCAGGATATACGTAATATAAGTCGGTAAGCCCACATTTCGAAGGCCTCTACTTTTTTCATCAATGTTGCGGTTATTGTCAACTTGTCAACATTGCATATAACAAAACCGGGAATACATAACATTTCAGAAGTCGAATTTTGAGAGGTAGGGTGAGGCTTTTAGAGGTGAAAATTTGCTTCATGCTAGTGAACGATGCTCTTGCCTTTTCTACTCTTATACGTATTTTCTTCGCTTGATCCCAATTTGAGTTAACTGTTGTTCCCAAGTAGATGTACGAATCCACGTGTTCAATTCCGTATTGTGCACTTGTTTATATATAGTTTCCATATATATTGGTTTATATATGGAGTAATATATGCAATAATACAGTAAAAAAAATACTGCATTTATGCTTAGTACACCGTACTTACTGCAGTCTTGCTTAGTGGTTATTTAAACAGCTGATGTATTTACTGCATTGTATTTATGTTGACCGTAAATTGTGAGGTTATGTTTGTAACATATGAGTTTGCTAAAAATTTGCTGTGTTCAGTTCAGGTTATAATAAGCCAATATTTGTGTTGTTAAAGTGGTTCAAAAATTATATAAATTACATTTAGTTAATAGTTGTTTTGGAACATGAGTGCTTCAAAGTTTAATACAGGTTCAACTCGTTCTTAGCTTATTGTAAACTTAGCTCTAAAAAGCACAAATACTGACACAACAGTTGGACAAGATGAGAAATCAAAGCTAATTTTACCTACAAAATGTCCTTCCAGTGATTTATTAGAAGCTAATGAACCTCAACCATCAAGCTGCACTATAACGTTATCAGATGATGTGAGATGTGAGATTACCTGACAATATAACTCAACAGGTAACAGACAACCATAATATATTAGCTTATAACCTTAGTAAAAATACACTGATATCACGTCCACTGGAAGAATTTGATGTTGATAAATCTATTTATTTAGAAGCACCTACAAGTTATAGATGTACCTGAAGTACTATTTAAAAATTTATTTACAAATTTGGTCCAACCAAACAATGATAATATAAACTTGGAAGATTTAGGTGTTCCAGCTGCTAGTGTTGATTTTCTAATAACTGTAAATAAAAATAGTAAACAAACGAATGTATATTGTAATTACAATGCAAACCAACATATTGACAATATCGTCGTAGAAAATCAATTAACCCCTATTACACAGAAAAGAATAAGGTTTGAAACCAGTCTGGAAAAAAGAAAAAAACCTAAGTTACAGAAATGAAAATATCTCATGCAGTAAAACACATACCGTGTAAAACCGCTGATGTTTTTTGCAAAAAAAAAGTGTGGACATAAAATTATTGCAGAACAAAGAGTGTTTATAAATAAAAAGTTTTGGGAACTGACGTGATATGAACGTAGACATTTCATTTTGACATCATGTGATAAGGTTGATGTTAAACGAAGAATAAATAAAAACACTGAAACAGAAAGACGATCACTATCTATTAAATACAAACTAAAAGATTGCTCTGACGTCACACAAAAGGTTTGTAAAAGTTTTTTCCTCGCCACATTAGACTTTAAGGAAAATAATGACAGGTTTGTGCATTATACATTCACAAATACTCCACATAGTGATACGAGAGGAAGACGGCTATAAAAAAATAACAGACCCCATCACTTAATCATCGAACACATCGAATCATTTCATTCCAAGATTTCCCATTACAGATGGGAGCATGCACCAAATGTGCGTTACTTTCCAGGTGATGTTAATGTAGCGCTTAAGCACACTGAAGTCATCAACAAATTTCTTGAGTTTCATTCGCACAACTAGAACATGAGGAGTGCGAAAAATGTGAGCAGTTTACTCTTCATTCCCACAAAAAAGAGAATCTTAACATATTGTGTAATATATGTAAACAATGGAAAGTTCATAACGAATTAGTTATAGAAGCTAGAAACGCATGTAAAAGCTTTTAGAAGCATGAAGGAAATTCAGGCCGCAATAAAGAAGATAATGTTAGTGCGTTGGACATGTTTTTAAAACAACACAGAGATACTAAAAAAATAGTTCATTGCAGCTAATGAAATAGTTTTAAACTATTTCCAACCTGGTCATTCATTTATGAGTGCAGACAGTTTTCACCATGAAGTGAAGCAATCATTAATAAAGCCTGGTACACACATGCCACTAAACTGGGAAAGTAGCTGGCATACCAGTTGCTGGCATAGGCCAGTAACTGGCAGGCACAAAACACATTTGCTAGTAATTGGCATGCCAGTAGCTCGCTTGCCTATACTGGCAAGGCGAAAAAGCAGGGTAGAAATTTGAAACTAAAGTAGTTGTTTTGTAATTAAAATTTTTTGCGTTTCCAACAAAAAAAGGGATTCATAGAAGATATTCGGAATGAATTAAATAAGCAAATATTGCTAATGGCCACAGATATTGTTAGAAATTTAATAATGAATCCGAAGCAAAACTCAAAAAGGAGAAAAATTTTGGTGAGAAATTGAATTGGTAGGCGACAAAATAAAAAAAAAGCAATTTTTTATTTTGACCTTTATCTCCTTTATAGTAACACCTTCATCCATTTTCTCTTGAATTTTTGTGTAAACATTGTCAAGGACTATTTTATTTTTATATATAAAGATGATTTAGAATTCAAAAGACACTCTAATTCCCTATATATAGCAATAAATTTGATGGATTTTTCATAACCCCAACGAAACATTTTTTAAATGAACAAGTTTAAAAATAAAACAATTTTTATTGCAAACACAACAAATCTGACAATTCTCTCAGATTCGTCAGAGACGTCATTGAGGCGTTGCTGAAGGCCCAAGCCGTTAAAAAAATGATTATCAAAATTATAGCAAGAAGCCTTATAAGCCGGGGTTCACGGCAGGAAGATCTTGCATAGACCACATATATACACTCCAACAATAATTGAAAAAATAATGACAAAAAATAGACCAGTATACATGGCATTCATAGATTTAAAAAAAGCATATGACACGGTTCTCAGAAAACAACTATGGAACACGATGAATGAAATCGGAATAACTCAGATGTTAATAGAAGCCGTAAAAAACCTTTACAACAACTACAAGGTAAGAGTTAAAACCGGCAATAAATACTCCAACGAATTTATGACCACAAAAGGCTTATTGCAGGGATGCTCTACATCTCCGACACTCTTCAAGATATTCCTCGAACAAATATTAAAACCATGGAAAAGGAAATGTGAAGGTATAGGACAATTTCTTGTACACATTAAGCTTTGCAGATGACCAAGTGGTAACAAGATGAAGAAGATTTGTGCTATATGCTCCGAAAATTAGAAATGGAATATACAAAAAATGGACTGGAAATAAACCTAGAAAAGACCGAATATTTAACAACAGAGCAAGAACCTGTGAGAAACTTGGAAATGGACGATGATAGAGAAATTAACGGCACTGAAAAATTCAAATATTTAGGATTCATACTCTCAAAAAATGGAACCACCGAGCAAAAAATAACCAACAGATTAACACAAACAAGAACATGTATTAAACAAATGAACGGGGTACTGTGGGATAGACAGATTACCAGAAATACAAAGAAAAGAATTTATAACACCTTGGTACGCAGTATAATGAAATATGGAGCAGAGAATTGGGTAATAAATAAACGAAACAGGTCCAAACTCACAGCAACTGAAATGGAGTTCATGAGAAGCTGCAGAGTGACAAAAATAGATCGCTTCAGAAATGAGGAGATAAAACGAAGAATTAATTACTCTTAAACTGGGAATAAGCCACAATTAAAGATAAAAATTCGTTTATTGACGTTTCAATTTCCACTTCGGAAATCGTTCTCAAAATACAAACAGTAAATTTTAATTTACTGTTTGTATTTTGAGAACGATTTCCGAAGTGGAAATTGAAACGTCAATAAACGTATTTTTATCTTTAATTGTTGCTTATTCCCAGTTTAACAGTAATTAATTTACAATGCCACAAGAAAATAGCTTCAGAACAATAAAACGAAGAATGGCAGTATAACAAGACATACTCAGCTACATCGAAGAACAACGTTTAATTTGGTATGGACATGTGAGAAGAACAGATCATACAAGATGGATAGCAAAGATTTCGGATTGGAGTCCAATAGGAAGGACG